AAAAAGCCTTATAGCGCTCGGACCCTACGGACCAATGGTCTCGATACCGAATGCGATATTCGGAGCATAGACCCCTGGTGATATAGAATTTCAATGATATTTGATGTAACGACAATCTTTGGCTATATTTTATGTTATAACAAACAAACGAAGTCAAGAGCACAGATAAAAGAATATTTCACCTTATGTACATCCTTTTTGCTTTGTCATTTATATATTCAATTGTAATGAAACACTATTTTCACAGTATCTAATCTATATATTGGATAAGTCACAATGGTTTTTATTTTCAACGTAACCTTTTAAAAATTATCTAATACATATAAAGTGATATTAGAATGACCGGCATTCTTTTTTTTCTTCTAGGTCCGCCAGAGCTAAAAGAAGAAGAAAAGTTATGTGTAAATAATTTATGTTGCCATTAGCTATTTTCTAGTTCTTTTTAAAGTAGGGTAATCGACGCAATGATATACCACTGGCATAGGAAACACGAGTGTTGCTACATTTTCATTTATAAAATATACTACATTTGTGAAATGGAAGGAACGAACACAATGGTTACGGGATGCTCGCTAATTCCCTCTATTACAACAGTATGTATTAAAACCTCATTTAAATCGCTAACCCTGCGCGAAGGAAGACAAGGCTGCGCGAAACAAGGCAATTGCTAAGTTTTAGTTTAAACATATTTAAGTTTACCTTTATCATGAAAAAATATAACATAAAAAATTTGACGTTCATAAGCGGCTAAAATATCCTATATAAATAAATTATTTTTGAATTTGAATTTGAATGCAGAAGCAGCATATAAATCGGTTGAGACGTTTCGGAGTTTTAGCGTGCTCAATTTAGATTTATCAGTTACGTAAAAAGTTGTTATTTAACCGATGAACGGTTATAAAATGAGGGTAGCTGAACATGCAGGTCATGATAGGCGGCTTGTATCGCTGTGTGATCTAATTTTATATTAAAGGAATTGAACCTAACCTTGTGGAGATAATATGTTGTGCACGCGTGAATATTGCATTATAACGCCCCAGAACACATAATAGGTACTTACGGGCAGTAGATATATGTGCCTACTATATATACTGTACCGATTATTTTATATTACAGTAAAGAAGCTATTGCGGTTCATATAGCAGAAATTATTTAAAAACACAAAACGCAAGTTTCTTGTACATTCTTTTTGTGAATCTGCATTTCGAATTAGTGGTTAAATCAAAAAATATGATTATACAAAAGTTTATATTATGTTTATTTGAATAAAGATTATTTCGATTATAGAAACAACAATCAACAAACAACAATCCGAAAAATTATGGCATGAAGTCAAAGTCATTTAGTCAGTCATTTAGCTCAAAGAACCCGTTTGAAGGTCGATCTGATAGTCATTATAGCCACATTGCTAGCAATTGGGCCCAGCACCTTTTGCTGACACTTCCTTCCTTCAACTAATTTAATATTTCCTTTAAGTACATCTTATATGCCTTAAATATTATTAGATCCTGCTTACGCATTGAGTTTATGACTCAGCCTACATTAACTTTAAATAGACATTTTGTCTACGAAATCAGTGTGCCTGTTGAATCATAGTATAAATAAACATCGGCTAAGAGCGTCTTTATACATCATTTGCGGTTCCGTAGCAATATATATTGAACAACTAAATTGTGAATCAATGTGAGTGTAATTCATAGGAGTGATATTGAAACCTTCTATCATAATTGCATATTGCAGGTGCTCATGTAACCACTTTCCATCATGTATGCCACAAAGTTGACGATTTTGGGTTATTAGCAGGTCCTTAGACCAGTGGCACTGCGACCTACATACATAGATCTATTGTGCTCGAACTTTTTCAAAGTTCCCTACCTAAACCAGAACAAGAACAGTCAGGGACAAAAATTAAAGGATATTCTTAAGAGCGATGGTTCTTATCTCCTCAGGATAGAGTATATTATAGTAGTATATTTTCCAAAGGAGATATTTCGTTTATGCATGAATGAGCTACAACCACATAGGAAAAAAAATGTTCATGCTCATCTTCTAAGTTTATTGTCATAGAACAAGTAATGTATTCATCATATTGAATGTATGTATATATATTATGTATTGTATGTATGTTGTGTATATATGTTATAATATTCGTGTGTATTCTATTCTTGTTTAGTTGTAGTTTAGTCTAATGTTTGTATATACGTTATTTATATAATTAATGTTAAGCCACCATCAAGTATTTCTGCACTTCCTGAAGGTTGACTGGTAGAGAATGCCTATAGCATTAAGTCCGCCGTTTGTACCATAATTTATTGGTCAATAAAGTTTAAATAAATAAATAAATAGGATGTGTAGTAGCGTTTCCTGTTCAGTTTGGCAAAAACTGCAGATTTTTGTTCAACACAGGCCTAAATATTGCCATGTGTTTATTCAATTTGCAGTGTCCAGTGACAGCCCTAGTTCTGTACATACATATGTATAGCCACTCTATAGCAAATAGTCTATTAGAATATTAATTCGAGTAGCCCATTATTAGACCTTTGATTGGTCTAATTTTATACTTGGATCTGACCTTTCACTGCGACCTACATAGATCTATTGTCTTGGCCCTTTTTCTAAGTTCGCTACCAAGACCCGTCAGAAAATCTAAGTAAGGTTATTAATTACATCATAATCTCGGAATTACCGCAATAGTTCTAAAACTTTGGATGTTATTACAATATATAATATTAGAGATTATGATTTGGATCAACAATGGAATTGAAACAAATGAATTTATTAGGTAACATAATTACAAGCTTCTATTTTATATTCCGGCGGAATCTTAAAAAAATCATTAATATTGTTTATAAGACTTGATATTTATTTACACAGTATCGAGGTATTGTGGTGAATGTTCCATAATAGCTGAAAGGAAGTGTTGATAGCAATACGTCCTCCGTCGTTATGTCCGTAGTACCTACTCAGAGGACTTGAAATCGTCGAACGTTTGTGCGATGAATCATTTTATACTTAACTTACTACAATGGGTCGTGCTTGCGTACTACAGCAGTGAGTCAACTGCTTGTCCAGTCAACTGCAGTAGATATGTCTTGAGTGCAATAAAAAATGTTCCGTTTTTTTAGACGTGACAATGTAAAGGCACAGGTACATAGTGGCGTATGGGGGTACACCATATCATAATTTGAAAATGGTGATTTTCCTATTAATTGCCATAAAAAACCAAATGGTGACTTAATATACAGTCTAGTTTTGTTAAGTTTATTTGCAGATTATCTGCCTTCAAGAGGATGAAATTCCAGTTCCCCGAGGTTTATTGCCCCCGGAGTTGTTGCCGGGGCAAAAGAGCTCGCCCTACGCCCACTAGGGGGTGTAGAAAATCTGTCTGTTTTTATTTAGAAAAATGAATTACCCTTATAAAAACAATTGATTAATTATTAATTTATTTTATAGACACAGAATGTCACTTTAACATAGGTACAACCAAGTGACAAACGATCCAAGAACAATAACTTAAATATTCAAATAGGTACCCAGTTCCATCAAAGAACAAAATAATTTGATGGACTAACTAATTATTATATTCTACTCACGAAATAACTTGATAAGTGTTGTAAAGAATAGCACGGACATTCTACAAAATACATAGGTAACCTGAATTAAATATCTACTTAAGATTAATAAAACTAATGACTATTCTTGGCAGTATGGGTCGTCTTAGTCTGTACAAATAGGAAAAAATAAAAAACATTAAAATATTGTTCATATTGAACGACCACGATCACGCTATGATTTAAACAAATTACGAAGTAACCAATTATTTATTCACAGCCTTCGTAACATAGTTGCGTTATATTGCTGTGAATTTGAATGGAATCGTTTTGTACACGAACACAAACAAACAAACCATCTTCTTATCGGTGTGAGCAATATTATCTGTACAACGACTGTTGCTGGCGTCCACCAATCACGAGCCGGGATTATACCGATTGCCATATATGGCAAAGCGAACGGTTGCGAGAAGTGGGGAACTTGGGTGAGTCCAAATCGATATAGAAAAATAATGAACATTCTAATTTCAGATTATGAATAAAAAATGACAACTGTCAAATAGGTTTTTCAATGGTGACATTTTGTAAGTCGTTTTGGTGTTAATTGTAGGGGAAATAGTCGTGAAATTTTTAATTGTTTAGCACCTGCAGGGGTCCGTTGGGCGAGTCCATTGTGTCGTGACGCCGGCGTAGTGAAGCAAAGCGACCTCCACACTACTACACACGCAACACGAGCAAACGGGTCTGGAACGTGGTGCGGTAAACTGCGGTTCGAATTGCGATCACAGAAGAAACCGGCCGGTATTTCTCACGGCTCGCTATTGCTGTACTTACTGTTTTTGCTAATTATCTCTTGGTAAGTGAACACTTAAACTATACTTAATTAACAATTAATATAAGTATTGATATAGAATTCCGCGCTACTGGTCGTGACTTTTTATACTTAACCTATTTATCTAATTAAATTATGAAGTCCTATAAGAAGAATTAATTATTTCTCTTTTGTTTGTAATACTTTCTTATTGCATCTTGCCTAAAAATTGTACAACTTCATTCCTCGATGTTACCTAATGATGTAAATTTATATATGGCAATTTGGCAGGTTGCCAAAATTTGAATAACGTTCGATCGGTTAGTACAGTTAGCTAGGTAATATACTATAGAGTCTAGTCTAGACTGTAGTGCTAGACGATGGGATCTTTCCATATCGGTCTGCTTGCCAACTGCCCAATATGAACTCTGTTGGAAATCCGTCTGAGTGTTCGTTATCAATGGCGCGCTATCAGTGCCGGGGGTTGCGCGGACAGCGGGGGGACGCGCAGGCTCCCTGTAGCGGAATACCATATATGGTCACGAAACCTCACGTAGTGTCTGATTGGTGGAGAGCTGCTGCGGCGCGGGTAGGGGCGCCCCGATAACCAGCCTCATTTATATACTCCGCCTGACGCGCTCGCCGACATTCCACGAAGTGAGCCCGAGTTGTGGTGTTGTGCAGCGTTACCGAGGCTGTGCATTAGCGAGATAATTTATTTAATTTATATTAGGACTATTTAATTAAAAGTAAGTTGAAATTCATATGCGATACTATTGCATTCGTGATGTAGTTACAGTGATCCGTGTGTTGTGTTGAATTAGTGCAATTTGGTGTGTGCGGTCAGTGACACGTTGTTAGGGTTGGGCTGGCCGACAGGGTCGCATCGCCGGGCCGGGAGTCTGGAATAGCCGGTTGCGGTAGGGCGTGGTCGGATTCCATAAAAGCAAAATCATTTAATGAAATTTAAAATTCGAAAGTTCTTCCAGTGTTCCACTTTCTCAAATAATGAGAGAAGTTTCCGAGAAATGTCGTCAAGCTTTTTCTACAGTTACGCCCTGCCACATATACGTCTTGGGGCCTTTTGTATTAGATCTAGCCATATTTGGATGTGAATTGCGAGACCATCGGCCACCCACTTACAGTGTCTTATTAGTCGCGTAGGTCTTCTCTGCCCACGTGTCACTTTTTATGGGATCGAATGTTCTTACATTACAATCGTAACTTATGACCAAATCTATCTGAACATTATTACTAGTAGTTTGCAGTATAGTGAGTAATAGGAATATAATAATAAAGTCACTTATCTGTAATTTTGTTGTTTGCAGAATAAATCACAATGTGTGACGAAGAAGTTGCCGCGCTGGTCGTCGACAATGGATCCGGTATGTGCAAGGCCGGTTTCGCCGGGGACGATGCTCCCCGTGCTGTGTTCCCATCGATCGTAGGCCGACCTCGCCACCAGGGCGTGATGGTCGGCATGGGACAGAAGGACTCTTACGTCGGTGACGAGGCCCAGAGCAAGAGAGGCATCCTTACACTTAAATACCCCATCGAGCACGGCATCGTCACCAACTGGGATGACATGGAGAAAATCTGGCACCACACCTTCTACAATGAACTGCGTGTCGCCCCCGAGGAGCACCCAGTGCTGCTCACAGAAGCCCCCCTCAACCCTAAAGCCAATAGGTAAATTTTATACTAACATTTTTTATCTAATCAAAATATAAAAAATAGTTAATTGTGTGCCAAATCGTAATTAACGAATTGATGGTACTTCTTAATCTCAAATTAATCTAACAATTAAAATGTTTGTGTTTCAGAGAGAAGATGACACAGATCATGTTCGAGACCTTCAACACACCCGCCATGTACGTAGCAATCCAGGCCGTGCTCTCCCTGTACGCGTCTGGTCGTACCACCGGTATCGTGTTGGACTCCGGCGACGGTGTCTCACACACAGTGCCCATCTACGAGGGATACGCATTACCTCACGCCATCCTGCGTCTGGACTTGGCCGGCCGTGACCTCACAGACTACCTGATGAAGATCCTCACTGAGCGCGGCTACTCGTTCACCACCACAGCTGAACGTGAAATCGTTCGTGACATTAAGGAGAAACTTTGCTATGTTGCTCTTGACTTTGAGCAGGAAATGGCCACCGCTGCCTCCAGCAGCTCCCTCGAGAAGTCTTACGAACTTCCCGACGGACAGGTCATCACAATCGGTAACGAAAGGTTCCGTTGCCCCGAAGCCCTCTTCCAACCCTCATTCCTGGGTATGGAAGCTTGTGGTATTCACGAAACGACGTACAACTCCATCATGAAGTGTGACGTCGACATCCGTAAGGACTTGTACGCCAACACAGTATTGTCTGGCGGTACCACCATGTACCCAGGCATCGCCGACCGTATGCAGAAGGAAATCACTGCGCTTGCCCCATCCACAATGAAAATCAAGATCATTGCCCCACCAGAGAGGAAGTACTCCGTATGGATCGGTGGATCGATCCTCGCGTCCCTCTCAACCTTCCAACAGATGTGGATCTCGAAACAGGAATACGACGAGTCTGGCCCCTCAATTGTGCACAGGAAGTGCTTCTAAGCGCGCGGCGCGTTGCTGTCTCGTGCAGCCCGCGGCTCGGCCGGTCGCGCGGCCGGCTGCTCAACACAGGCTTGTAATCTCAGTTAATTAATTTAATTGTACGTAAGATATTATATGTAATTAAATCGTAATAGTGACGGCAGGACGGAGCGCGGCGCCGCGGGCGCGCCTCGACCGCCGGCCTCGGTACTGCACTCGCCAAAGGATCTTTTTGTAATCTCATGAATGATGATTGTATGTGCTGAAACGGATAAGACTACTTTCTTACTAGGTCATTTATAAATTATAAAAAATAATGAAAATACAAAAAAAAATCTGAAAAATTAACCTGTCTTTTACTTGCCTTTATTACCTGCCAAATATCTCACTACATTCCTTGGATAGTATAGTACATCTTTGATTCTATAGTCATTCTAGTTCAGTGTATATATAGGTCAGTATGTCTATACCGTAGGAGCAACGCTCGACATTGACCTACGTACAGAAATAGAACAGGCAACTTGTGGCTAATTATATCTCACTCCCATTCCTTGTAACTAGTCATTCTCGATGTGCAAGGGCAACTGCACATTCATTTTTTTCCTTGTGACTTGTGACCTATCTACATTAAACACAACTTATCTCTAATGGTTGACTAGCAGAAAATGCCACAATCTGTCGAGTCCGGCATGTCTACTTTTATCTCTGTATTTCTTACATTAAAGTTACATAAATGAATAACAGGTGTAGTTATCTGATTTACATTAAAGCAGATCACAATATGTACTAGTCACTTAAGAAATATATATCTGAATATAGTTTATAAATAAATATACCTTCATGACTGTTATGCCAGATAGGCTAATTAAAAAGACATTCATCAGTATCTGTATCGTTTACAATAACTGTTTGTACTATATTTATCTTTAAAGTTAAAACCTACTGGTAATGATCAATATATCATATTTAAATCAAACGAGCCTATCGCCGTGCGTTTAATTTATTGCTGTTTTTCATCACTGGAGTGAGGTATATTCTAACTTAGTTTTTGGATATAAGTTGGATAGTATATAACTATATGTATATACAGTGCCTAACAGCCAACTAGCGAAGCTGCAAGAAATCTAGCGTAAGTAAACTTAATGTGAACTGGAGATTAATTTCGATCTACTGTATTTATTTACCTTACAATGTAAATGTTACATTATTACTTTTAAAGAATCCCTCAATAATAATTTAAGTCGGAGACGTGCTAAAGTTTTATCCTTCAGTCACAGAGACGGTAATTTAATATATTTATTTTCTTTTTTCATTGATAATAATGGAATAGTACACCCGCCTGCGCTTACTGTATGCGTTGGCGGGGCACTAGTGAAGTAAGTATGCGCATCAAGTCAGTTCAGTTAGCACATTGTAATTCACCCGGCCACTAATCGCATTAGTTACCAGAGGGAACCGCGTGGAGGTCAACCCCGCTGCTGGATTATACGTTTTACATTTTACATTTCTTATTCGATACGTTCTTATGAGTTTGAGGCGGATGTCATCCGCCGTACGATAGCTCTCTCTCTCAAAGCGTCGTAATTTAATATACAAAATGATTAAGTTGACTGGCTTGAATTTCATCACGAGTAGGCGGCGACAGAAATGAACATTATTTACTCTTACAGTAAAGAATGTTCATAATTTTTCTGTCTCACCTGTCGTCACCCTTGATTTCAACAGGCTGAGATAGGGCGAGACTCCTTTCAAAGCGTAGTAATTTCATATATATGAAATGATTAATTTACACGACCTTGAATTAGATCACAAATAGAGGAGACAGAAAAATACTGGACTTAGGGGGATGTTGGGGAGTATTATGGATTTCTCAGTTGGTTATTATGGTGATTGTAATAAAACCAGGTAATTGTAGATAAATGAAAATAATTTGCTTCTGTATAATGTGAAAAGATCAATTGTAATGAAAAAACAAAAGAACAGTGATAGAGACATTAAAAAGTATATGGCTATAAAAAAGAATTAACAAGGAGTTTTAATTTCCAACAGGGGATGTCAGTAAAGGAACAGGCTGATAGGGAGACAGTATCTTTTACTGTCTTCTTTCTATCATTCAGGGAATATAGATAAAACTAGTTGTCTTTATGATTAAACTAAGTAGCTATCTTATCTCTAGGTAGTGATAAGATATTGTACATTCATATCAAACTGAATGCTCTATTTTTTGTTATACGAGTCGAGTAGACAGTGCGTTTTCCCTGAAGAAAACAATGCACACCAACATTTCGTGTGAACATGTGATATATCGTAAGAAATGGAGCTAAAATACAGTGCTCTCTTTATATTGTGTGTCGTTGGGAGTGCTTGTGGTGAACTATGCCCAAAGAAGTGCGACTGTGATATGGACGATGGGTTAAATAGAGCGACGTGTAACAATCAGAACATTGTAAATGTTGATGTGGGTGTGCCGAAAAGTGTTCAGATGTATAGTCTTAGCCACAATGCCATTACTGAATTGGAAAATTTCTGCTTCAAGGTAACATATGACAGGGATGCGATGTTTCATAAGTTTATTTGTGTATACTTGTTATCAGTCTTGAAAAGAATCGATTATGTTAGGTACAAAATAGTTTATATTGTTTACCGTTATCGATTATATTATTTCCAGGATATTGGCTACACTTCGCTGAAAATTTTAATTTTATCCTACAATCTCATATTCTGGATTGGATTGCACGCATTTAATAGTCTAGGAGAATTAGTGGAATTGGATTTGAGCTACAACAGGCTGAGAGACATTCCGTCAGATTTGTTTTGGGACACGCCACATCTTGACATTCTCGATTTGTCGGGAAATGTTTTTGAGACGCTAAAGAATGAACCGTTCATAATTCACGATAAATTGCAGGTATATTTGTTTACATATGTACTTTCTATTTATTTAAGGCTACCAAAGACCCATATCATATATACCTTATAGACTAACAGAAATATGTAATAATAGTATAAATATGTATTGTCTCCTGTGGTCCCCGTTCTGACGATGGCAATCCACCACGGTAGCGTCGATACACCACCCCCTCCGGCCAGTAGTTCTCCTTCATTAAGGTGGGGATCTATGCCAATTTTCTTTCCTATTACTAACTACAGGTCTGACCATGTGATAAAAAGGTATGACCTCTACCTAAATGCCAAATTTCATTGCTATGCCCAAGCAAGATTAAAAGGTAGACAAATACAAATAATTCTGACATTTCGTACGAGTACTGAATTCCGATCTTGTAATAGACTAGTTGTATTTCATTTAGTTCCGTTATAGATTTTATGTTCCGTTACTTTGTTTGAGAATTCGTTAAAGTGGACACAGACTACTTGTTGTGATTTACTTTTTAGCGATTTTTCAATAAATTAATAAATACCATTTAAATGTTTTCAGGTGCTAAACTTACAAAACTGTAGAATCAAGTCATTCCCGGAAAGAATATTCAAGCGACTGCCAAATTTAAAAAAGTTAGATTTAAGCGAAAATTATGTAATATCCTTTAAAAGCGTAGTGCTTCAACCACTGACTAAGCTAACTAGGTTAGAATTAAAAAATGACTATTTAAAATGCAGTGCAGAATTCATAGTCACAGAAGCATGGATCGTGTCACGGGACATATCATATGTAAAACTTTGTAAGAAATCAAAGCCAAAAATGTTTGAAAAAATTATATCTGCAGTTGTTGAGAATGATCCAGTCGATGTAAATGATGTATGGAATATAACAGAGATAAGAAAGAAAGACGAAAACGTCACAATACCAGTAGTCGTAACCAGAGCACCGACGCTATTTGAAAAATTTGACAAAGACTTTCCGGCGTTCCAAGCTCTTCTTATGGGCCTCGTTATAGGCTTAGGAGTTGGAATTGTTGGTACCTATTTATGGCTCTCTGAAGTTTGTAAATGCAAGTGTAACTTGAAGACTCGGATGAGAAGACAAAGGCGGATAACGCAAAGAATAAGCAGGGATGAAGACATGAGTACAAATTTACTGTGGTACAGCGCTGTTAATCCAGATTTAGCAACGCCTCCCCAAATACGAAGAGAGCTCTCTCTCCCAGATGGTAGCACATCAGTTCGAACGCGAGTTGCAGTAGATGCCGTTCGATTCCCGGATCGGTGCGAAACACCACCGCCACCTTACAACGAGTGTCGCATCAATGTCATACATATTAGAGACAATCAAAGTGTAGCGTACAATTGACGTCACTGATATATTTAGTCATTTTCATCAATTAAGTATTTTAAATGCTAAGTCTGAGTTTATTGGCGGTAAAGAAAACTAAGGGTTTGTACCAAATTGACAAGGTACTAGAATCGAGTGATAGTAAAGTATTTGTTCATCTATCTAGTTGTAGTATTTTTAATGTTATTGTTGTTTAAAAATAAAGTTAAATCCTTTTTTATTGAAATAATAACTTTTTTTTACTGAAATCACGATATGTACAGATATACATTCTGCGTATGAAATTAGAAGATTTATTTTGAGACAGTAAAGACTTGAAGTGATTAAAGATTAATTGAATTTTTTGTCGAAATTTACATTTTGTGCTTTAAAATAAAATACTTATCCGTTAATTTTTATCGTTTCATTTTTCAGTTTCCTTTCCTCAGATTATGTGGGCAACACAATGTTATTTTGACTTAATGAATAGTACCTACTTATTTAGTAATTATAGTTTAAAATAAACATAAAACCCAATTTGCTTTGGAAGCACTAAAAAATTAAGTTACCTTAAAATATTTTTTCTAATAAATCTTACATTAAATTTCACACAAAATATTTACCATAATTTATTTCCGCGTCTTTATATTTTGTTGTTATCCCATTAGAATCATGTCAATAAAAAATAATAAGCGGTCAATTATTACAACTTTTATTTCTAACATCACAAATATTTTCACATAATTACATCAAAGCAGTATAATAAAATGTGTTTTAAAATCTTTTTACATATACATAAATAATAATGATATAATTGAACAAATATTTTATGATTCATACAAGTTTTAGTAGACATTCCCTATGTTTTCGTCATCTCACTTTCATCAATAGAATATTATCACAAAACTTAACGATATTAAAACGGAATCATTTTCTCAGAAATCCTTACTAATATTCTAACAATGAAAGTGAGTTTGTTACTTACTTTATTTCATGAAAAGTGATAACATATAATTGCGTAAAACATGATTTTGTTGGCAGCTGTTGATGAGTGGTTTCACATTCTATTTTGGGTTACATTAGAAACACAGTATGTCTAAATATAAATATATAATTCATACACAATTCGGGTCAAATAAATAAGAATATTACAATAGGACAGAGCAGTGGAGATGTAAGGACATATGTAATGACTAAATGCCTCACTTCTCTCCACATTTCACATATGTAAACATAACTCAGTCGAATTATATATAGAGCTGGTATGCATGATGATATTTGTCATTTATAATTTCATTACTGTTATCAAGACGGATAGTATGGATTATTATTATCTTTTCTTTATACTACAACAGCAAAATGATGGCAGACAAGCATCCGGCCCGTCTGATATTAAATGGATACCGTACTCTATGGGCAACAAATTTTCAAAACGATATTTGTAATTAGAGTTGATGTGTTAAAAATGTATGTAATTATAAATGAAAAATTTAAGGAGTATTCGAAGATATCAATAATCTGCGCTTCTGATAAGAGTTTAGCCCGCTATTATAACAGTACTTGATTTACACGCACAATTGCGACAAATATGTTAATTTTACAGTTTACCGAAATGACGAAATCTCACGATCACTCTTCACGAAACTGTTACGATGACAATAATCATTCGAGAACGCATCCTACAACAGAGTACGCACTATTGATATTTTGTCACGTAACAATACGTATCCATAAATGACAAATGTCCATGCGTAGAAACTCTTAAGCATAAATATATTTTTTGGTACACAATTGCTAAATTGCTTTTGCCAGCACACGATTTGGATATAAAAAAATATAGGAAATTCAAAATAAGAACACATGTTTTGATTAGACACGAGGACCGAAAAATATATTGATTAGGAAAAATATGTTAGTGGTGGTAACTTCGAATATAAGCTAATTTATATCTACACTCGGAAGAGATACAAAACTATTCTATACTGCAATAACAAAATCAAGGATGGATCGACAAAATCATTTTTGTTTCATTATTTCAATCAATATATGACTTATATAGCTCTATTACTATGTTGCAATACATTATCAAGTTTCTCTCTTATTTCATTTTAAGGTATTGTAACTAGATATAGGTAAAAAAATATTTAATTTTACATTAATATTTCGATGCAGTGAGAGTTTATAAGATAATGATGTCTGAAAAGAGTTTTATGTGATATTGTTGTTTCTATTTATTTTTAATATCGGACAACTTGACACGATAAAAAAACAATTATGTAAACGTTTTGTGTTCGACATTCACATACATACATACATATATACAGTACAAAATAAGTGCAGCTTAAGTCGCTCGTGTGCAATTTGGTGCAATTCTTTGTATAAAAAAAGCTAAGAAGACAATATAATAGGGACAAACATATTTGTACTCAAAACATCAAAAAATGAGATATAAATTAGTAGCTAGATTCTTGTACTGAAAATAAATATGTTCACTCATTTACAATTGTAAGAATATTTACTTATTTTTATATTAGCTATTTATTGAGATTAGTTACAAATGATGAACATACTTCCATGTTGATATGCATAAATTTTATGTATATTTGAATGTAAGGTAGGGACAATTCAACAGCTGTAGTACAATATATCTATTTCGAGTACAAATATATATTGACCAATAGATTTGTCATTAAATTAACCTATATTAAAACCTAATAAGATTCATCGGGCGTTAGTAGGGACGATGGGTTGCCACTACTTACTATATTAGTTGTAAAGTGCCTACGCTTAAAATTATTGGCATATTTATAACGTAAGACTAGTTCCGTTTCTAATCCTATTTAAAAAATAAAGGGCTGTCCATATATTACGTCACATGTTAAAGGAGGGTTCAATTTTGTAACGTCACATTTCAAAATCTACAATCACACTATACTGTGTGCGCTGTAGCATGGTGCGGGTGACAGTTACTAATTTTACATTTAACAATTGCTACATTTAAATTAATACAGTTATTAATGATTTAATATATTACGAATGTGGTACAGCTGAAATACTAAGTTATAATTTGTAAATCGCGGCAACTTTTAAGAGTGTAACGAAACATTAACGAAACAGTCACCCGCACCATGCTACAGCGCACATGGTATAGACAAGGGTTTTACAAATGTGACCAAATGTGACAAAAACGAGATAAAAATCATGAAATAGGTGTGACGTGGTACATGGGCGTCCCTAATAAATAATCTAAAATTGGACGCGGCTCATTTAGGCGAAAACTGGGCGATAGTATAATAATTATTGTCGGTTCATTTTTGGAGACAGTTAAGATTTTAAAGGCGTTAGCTACTGTTTAAAAATACTGTGTTAATTACCATATTACAAACACTGGGAATATCAGTCTGTATTTTGTTAATTTTTAAAAACCGTCAACCTGGTTTTAAGGCGGCGAAATATGCAGTCGCAACTTTCGATAGGTGCAGGTTCGATTGCTGCCTATTTGATATATTGCTATTTAATTTACCTATGTATTTACAAAATTTTATCGTAACAAAACTAATTTTGTATATTTAATTTATGATTCAAATATATCATGATATCTGTTTCATGAATATTTCGATGAGTTTCTGGTTCTATCTATATGTTACTTGCCAGTTCTTAGCTCGAAATAACTCCAAACTGACGGTTTGACATATCATAAGAGTCCGTATTAGACCTACATGAATAAAGATATTTATAATGAGTGTAAAAGTTACTATTTAAAATTTGCGTATTTTTTTGTTTGTTATACAAACAAAAAAATACGCAAAATGGAGGAACTATTAAGAAATAATTAATACTTTAATTATAGATACAAAATAAAATACAGATAACTTGATTATGATTTTATGCCATGCAGCGCATCCAGCATGCGCGATGACTTGCGTAGTAAATCTATTCTAATTTAAAAATCCGTCTACCGAACAATTTTTATCGTCTATGGTTTTGTTCAAGAAATTTGCCGCCAACTATACACCTAGTCATTATTAGAACTATGTCCAACATGCCTGAGAAAAATACAACTAAATCAGAATCTTAATTTATAACAAACTTAAAAATATGTTTAAAACCTATCAATAAATATATTTTTGATAAAAATGTACTCAAGTTTTACAACTAAGCGTATTTAGTGGTCATTGTGCGTTATAAGTCCTTATACTGATTAAGCACATAATTGTAAGTCACTACGTAGTCAACAAACAGATTTGTACTCTCTTATTACATTCTAGTAGTTAGTAAATTAAAACGAATATAAAATAAGGCCACACCTCGCTCTCACGAGCTAATAATTATCCGGGAATGGTCACTTCCAAATTCATTTTGAACACAACATTCTCAAATGGACGTTTTTAGGAGTTAACGCACTACACACTTTAAAGTTTCACAATTTAAAACACAATATTCATTAATACAGGTAAGTCAACTTAAAGACGTTTTTGAATTTGTAGTATATCCAGTTCAAAAGTGGAATAAAATAGTTTGGGCCAACACATCACACTACTGCATCGGTCGCTTGTAAGTAACATCAGAAATGCAAGGCCATTTTGTTTTTATTAATTTATTATTAACGAGTACATTATTTTCATTTTTGTTTCTATTATAATATATATTTCAATGTAAATAAACTGGCTTGATAAAAGAAGTTCAGTTGATTTTCTTGCCAGTTTTTCTCAATTGAATCTATATACTGAATTGGACATAGGGAAAAAATATTAATACATAATATAAAAAAAATCCTGCATGAACATGATTTTTGATTCGATTTGGTTACTACTGTAATTTACTGGAGTATATGAAATTCACAATTAAAAGTTAGTAAGTTATAAAATAATAAAAACATTTGTGAAATATTGAAATATGAATTTTTCTTTGTTTTAATTTTGTTACCGATTAGTTATAATGCTTATTGTTTATCTTTATTTATTTATCCACTGACCGGACACACTACCAACGCAAAAACGTCTTTAAGTAAATTCACCTGTACATTAAGTTCTTTTTTTATTCGAGACGCTACGATTCACTGTCCTTGATACTGTCTTCTGTAGCTCTCCTGATATCTGAGAGTGGGTTGCCATGTACACGAAACCGGTATACGCAAGTGTACGTAGGGTTGCCATGATTGCTCTCGACTCTCAACTCCACGATATCGTACGCGACTGGATAGTCGACGCCTCCAATATTTGTGGTCTTAGGGTATTTTACAGGGAAGTACTGTATCGCTGTGCCATTTGCGTCGTACATGTAGTCCCCGAACAGATGAGGTTCTGGATCCATTTCGCCGTGCAAGCCCTGGAATTTGCGAAAAGATTTACAATAATATTATTTATAGTAAGTACTTTATATTTAACTTAATAAAGAACGTATATATTATTACCTAAGTTAAGTAAATACCAACAGTGGCTTTTCACACTGCCCTTAAACCGCTTTCTTTTTACCCAATGGTTAGTGGCTAGAGAATACTATATGGCATTGAGCTCGCCAATTGTTCATATATTTTAAATAGTGCCATAAAGAATAAATAAATAAATATCAAACCTGTACAATAGTGTAATTCAAGAGGAAGGTTTATAATACACGCGTGCATAGTGGCGGGTAGCTAGTAAGCTAATAAAACAACCATTTGAAATCTACACTATGAAAATATACACACTCAAGAGAACAGAATGTTCATATTGTTTTAGGACTTGGAAAAATATATAATTCCAACTCGGTTAGCTTATATCCTAAACACATACGACATTGAACAAATAAAATGGTCAATAATAAAGTAGCTGCCTATAAATATGAATTTCATGTCTAAACAGTTACTATAGTCGTATAGCTTAACCTAACTTTGTAACTAGTATCATATTTGGGGATTTTATATAGTTATTTTTATTCTGACATGGCAGTGAGATAGCTCGCAATGCCGACTCCTGCTAGCTGTCGTGTGGCATAGGTCCTTGGCCCGTTACCTTGTTTTCTATATCAGTTACGTAAAAAATATAAAGTAAAACCTACATCATTAAAAAACCAAACGCATGATTCGAAAAAGGAATTGTTACAAGTTACGATGTTGTACAGTACCGAGGTCATCTATATATGATACTTTGCATTCGAACGAATTCAATAGTTAATTGTAAAACTATAATGAAAGCTTAGTAATCAGGTTTCATATAAAAATAAATATTGAATTCTCTATTTTTGTTTATATTAAATTTAATACCAATCACAATCAAAATGGTGGCCAGAACAGCTCCGTTAAGTGGTCAGAATAAAAAACACTTTAAAGGTCTGAAAATCAAATTGCTTAAAGTACCATAACTGAGATCAAGAAGAGAAGTGAAAATGTTAACCAAATCACGCCAAAGGGTAAACCGCCGGGTCGTAAACCACCACTAACGGAACGCCAATTCAAACAACTGGAAACTATGGTTAATAACCCAAACCCTCCGACACAACAAGCGATGGCCGATATCTTGAAAGTGAAGAGACATGTTGTGAGGTATCAAATAGACAAAAAACTTAATAAAAAGTTGGCCCAAAAACCGAAAGTACAAGCATTGAGTCCGGGTTCGGTGAAAAAGAGATACTGCCGTTCTTGGCCTATGTATATGAAATTGAGATGTAATCGTTGGAAAAAGTTCATCACTACTGATGAAGCATGGTTTTACCTTGCTAACCGTAATCGTCGAAATTCCAGTACAAATCCAGAGGACAAACTCGCAAAGACCTAGACGTATACCAACAACAGTCACATCCTAAGGGTGTTATGGTATGGTTGGGCATTTCGGCAAATTGTACTTCTCTCAGATTTGTGACACCCGGTGCAAAGATCAATACAGACTACTACATAAAGTCTATATATTCGACATATTATGTGTCTTCCATCAACTAAAAGTCATATGTCAAAAAAGACCCAAAAGTTCCTTAAGACAAGCAGAATTTTTCATTCCATCTCATCAATGGCTACCAAACAGTCCTGATTGTGCTCCTATGGATTTTTGTTGGGGATATCTGAAGAGGCGAATGAACAAGCGAAAAGTGAAGACAATATTGTCGCTTAAAAAGACTTTACGGGAAGAGGTCAAGAAAATCCCACAAATAATGATCAACCGAGCTTTAAAGGCATGGCCAAGAAGATGCCGTATGATCTACTATAATAAAGGCTTTCATATTGAAAAACATAATTAAAATTTATTTTAAAGTAATAAAGTTATTTAACTTTGAATTCGTTCGAATGCAAAGTATCAATGCCTGTATATATGGCAAATATGACCGTTAATGGAGAAACAAATTGTATTAGAAACCCAAAGGTTAGCTGGAAGCAAGAGAGTATGATAGTTTTAAGCCGGAGTTTTGGTATATACCTTAATAAATGTACACTAATATTATAAAGAGGTAAAGTTTGTGTGAGTGTGAGTTTGGATATTCGGGGAATCTCCGGTACTAATGATCTAATATTGAGAATGCTTTTAGTACTCATTTATCAAGGAAGACTATATATAAGATCGTAACGTGATTTAACAGGAGCGTGTCTGGAAGGAAAAATTTTATAAAAACGTGGAAAATAAAACAATACTGTTTTAAACTTGACGCGGTCATTATTTATACGTATAATTAGTAAAAATCACGGGATCTTACTACGTTTTATATTTATTTGCTGATTTCCCGTGTAAGATCCCGTGATTCTTACTAATTATACGTATAAATAAAACAATCTTTTAAGTCTTTTTCTTTCAAGTCTTTTGTATACTCTTAATACTTAATAATACCATAGTCTAAATATTGCTTTTTGTATTTTTTTAAGTCGTAATAAAAAATAAGAATAAAAAACTGTTCTGCTCGTTAGCTAGTTTTAAATAAAATAATTGATATAGTGCTATACAAAACAGAAATCAACTCACGTATACAGAGAAGTTTTTAGGTGCAGACTCAATCTTCCCATCCATGGCCAGCAACCGAGACATGTGTTCCACTGAGAAGCCGGTTATTTCAATTACGGCGTACGTACGAACAACTGAAAATGAAATAAAAAAAAATATTAATACAAAAAACTTGACGTTGAGAAGCGGCTAAAATATCGTATATGAATAACTGAATTTATACGGGAATCGACTTTCACGCAGAAAACAATGTGTATTTAAATGTAGACAAAGAGAACGAGTAAGAAGCAGGAATGCGTTCTACAATCGTGACTGCATTAGCGCATTTTATGTCTATTTTACTAAAATTTTATATATAATTAAATTATATTGCAAAACGGAGGACATCTGATTATAGAGCAAAGACATAATTACAGAGTTACTGATAATTTACAAATCTTAAAATGTGGAAAATAAAATCTGTGTAAAAAAAAGTAAAAGAAAGTGGTACGACTTAGAACATATGCGCTATCACGCGTGACAGTGAAATAACAAAAAATAATAAAATGAATCGCACGCGATTTAACGCGCTAAATCGCGCACGATCCTGATCGCGCGTGAATGAATGTGTCGTCTAAAGGCAGCTGATAAATTATTTATGATTTGATATGTGTGGCCTAGTTTGACCAATTACCTAAGTATCCTGGGAAGCCCTGGAAGGCCCAGCACTCTGCTGGCATCGCGCCCGGCGACAGCGCGTATCGCGGCGACGTATACACCCACCACACCGGCAGTCCTAGGATCGAGTACTGTTTCGTTTTGATCTGGTACAGTTCCGTGCATTTCGTCGATATCACTTGACCACCTAATCGATTTAATTTAAACGTTAATGTCATATGTTTAAAAATAATTTTAAATTAAATTATACTAATATTATAACTGAAGTTTGTGATGATGGATGGATTTTTGTTACTCGATCACGATAAAACTATTGGTCGTATTTGAATGATATGGTACACACATAGATAATAAATTTAATTTACCGTTATCATGTGATACCCGTAATAGTATCATGGGTATCACATGATAACGGCGAAATAAATGATCATGCGTAGTCATTCCAGATGACTGAGATCTCATGCCTCTTATCCTGCAATTTCATTGCCTAATCTGCACCCTACAGTTGAAATACAGTTTACAAAGTAACAAGTTCGGCTACAAAAGAAGAGATCGAATTACCCACGCAGACTACTTTTTCCAGTTTACCTCTGAAATACATACATACATATAATGAAATGGTGTACGTTTACGTGTATACAATAATCACAAATGTATATGCGAAATTACTAATTGATTATTCAACTTTTTAATATCTTCCTATATTGACATAAAATTTAATTTACCTGCAGATTCCAAAGCATAATCTACTAAGCCTGTTTTATCTGCATCATATATATTGAGCATTCCGGCGACAATTTTCTTCACAGCCTCCACGTCGAACCCTGTCTCCACACGATGCACCTGCACTTCCCTCACATATTCCTTTAATTTTTCCACTATCAGCTCCATCTGATGTCGCTCGAATACCGCCAAGTAATCCTGGATGATACTACGAATCTTGTCTTCATCCATCTCTGGTTTCCAAGAGCTAATCAACCTCTCGTGTATCTCCTGACTCATCAATTGCATCTGCTCCTTCGTAATATAATGCTTATCAAAGTAATCTTTCAATTTAGCTCCGATTGACTCACTGTTATCAGCCAAGTTGAATATATTAATAAAATTCTGACGCAAGTATTTGATTGAGTACTGCTCGATTTGAGCTTCTAAGTTATCAAATTTGGATAATCTGTGGTCGAATAGTTTCAGTTTAGAATCCACGTTTACTGCCCAATCCTCAAGAGCTGCCATCCGCTTCGAAAGATCCACATCTTGTATTATTTGGGGTGACTTGTAAGTGTCAACGATGACTGGTTTTTCTTGAGGTAGAATATAATCCGAGTAGTGATAGCCTGTAAATAAAAATATTTATTTTATACGAGTCCTCTACATCTCTGTCCTTCCCACACAGTGCCTTTGATATTGAAAACAAAAAAATAATAATAAAAGAATTAATTTAAACGACAGGGAAGGACAGAGTGAAATGATAATGAAATAAGCTGGTTTCCACTCACCTAAAAGTGTAGCGTGTCACAGTACGTCCACTTTCTTATAGGTGATGTTTGTATCTCTATCCTTCCCCGGAATTTAATGCCAATAATTTTGTTACAGGGAAGAATTATGTGGGAATGGATGCGAGAGAAAGACATGTTGCATGGTAGAAAATATAATGAAATCAAAATAAAACAGCACTGCTGACAAACATATTACATTTCACATCTCTTACAGACGACGTTCTTTGTTCCACTGCCGTCTACATTGTTGCTTTAAATATAAAAAGGTAGAAGTCTGTAAGAGCTCTAATTTGAATAGAAATTAGGCCGGGTACATACATTTGTAATATTATTAATTGTTAATTGCACATGAATATTACTTAACATATTATATTATATTGAAAACATAAATTAGGTACATCGTTATAAACATCAAATCGTTGGGCCCGTTGTTATTACAAACATTTACTTAATTAAAATAATTACTCCTTAACCCTTACGCAAAATAAATTAGTTTAAATAGTACCCTACGTTACTAAAAGAAATAAGGGTTAACACATTTTTGGTTTGTGACAAATAGGTTTTTTATTACCTAACTTATTTTTTCATTTTTCTGACATATATTTGCTTAGTGCATAAATTAAAATTACCCAAACCATAGTATTAACTAAGAATATAATAAAACAGTCTAAATTAAAAATGTGATTAGAATCGAGCAGACTTTTAAAGCAATAATGTTATAATGAAAAAATAATATATATATGACTAGGTCTTTAAAAATATTTTGAACACAATTGTAAAATCTATATTGAATCAAAATCAAATAGTTTTTTAACAAAATATAATATTATTTATGGCACATTTACCACATTTCAAGGTACATAGTTGAGGGGGACTCCAGTATGATTAACAGTAAGAATTAAAGCATAGTCAAAGTACATATATTAATGGAATTAAATGGACCCTTATCCCTCCTAACGCACCGCATTTTGGAGGATGCTGGGAAAGTAATATAAAATGTGTCAAAAGCCATCTAAGTAAAGTCATTGGGCTACAAATTTTAACCTTTGAAGAACTTACGACTGTTCTTACACAAATAGAATCGCTATTAAACTCTCGCCCATTGACCGTCTTAAGTTCAGATCCGTCGGACCTGGAAGCATTGACACCTGCTCATTTTCTTAATACTATACCGCTAAAACACTTCCCAGCACATGACGTAAGTGACGCCATTCCTCATCTTTTGAAACGACACGAGCTTTTAGACCAACTCGTTCAATCATTTTGGAAGAGGTGGCATCGGGAATATTTGCATACGTTGCAATTGAGACGCAAATGGAACACGCCGGCCTTTCCTATCCAGGAAGGCACGATAGTAGTTGTTATGCAGGAGAATTTAACTCCATTACATTGGCCTCTTGGTCTTATAACACGAGTTTATAAGGGTAAGGATGGCATTATTCGCGTTGCCTCAGTCAAAACAAAGGCTGGTATTTTTCAAAGGCCAGTGGTAAAATTATGTCCATTGCCTTTGCAATAATATGTATTCTATAAGATAGGTAGTACGCATTTATAATAGGTTAATAAGTTAAGTTAAAATCCTTTGCATTTTTCTTATTTAGTAAATTCCGCATTTGATATTTTTTGTATTTTTTCTTTCTTGTTTTTTGTATTTGTCGCATTCGCAATAAGGTTCAATTGTGTAGTTCCTTTATTTTTTTTTTTTGTTAATTTTACTTTGACATTATGTCAAGGCGGGGGGCATGGTTACGCCAAACGCGATGCGTACCTGGTTTGTCTTGTGCATTGACACCCCTCCCGGCTAATTCAATAATCAGTGATGTCATAGCTTTCGCCGCGCGCGCACGTTGCACGCATATCGCACGCATGTCTTAATAATTGTAATCAACCTGAGTGAATTCCTGAGATTCCCGTAACCGTGTGGGCCCACTGAAGAACAAGCACATTGAAGTAGGGTAAGTCATTCATATACGACCAGCCAGTTTCCTATACAACAATATAGTCCATCGAAGAAGGCTAGATCATAGCCACCGCCGCACCAAGTAGAAAATATTGTCATTGATTAATTATTTACTTTTCTTTGTTTAAACAATTGAAAACTCGTGTATAATTTTTTTTATTTATACACGAGTTTTCAATTGAAAAACCTAATTATAAAGGTTTATTTAGATTTCTGTGTTACCAATTCGATTATAAAAAATTTCAACAATTAAAATGACAATATTTACACTTATTCTGAATAGTAATAATAATTCTAATAAATCTATACGGAATGAAAATAGTGATGAACATCATTATATAAATTATATATTATAATAAAATTATTCATGAACATATAATATTTAATTATAACCCCGTTACTTATATGTTACTTACATCATACATTACGAAAATCATTAAGGTTTTAATAATTAATTTGACATTTAATGTTAAATTTATTTTTAAATATTACATAGAGACCGAATCGTTTTTATAAGTAAAGGGATTATATATATTTAATAATACATAAGGATAAACCTATAACTAGACTTTATGTAGTGATTTTTGCAACGAATAAGGAAAATAGAAATTGTTTTAGTATGTATTTTAATACATCAATATAGCACTCTTATGAATAATACAACCTAAAATTAATAAATCACTTGTTATGTTATAGGAAAAATATTTACACACCAATGTGTAAAAGATTAAGTACCGATGTATTTTGTGTTACTAAAACTCTCACAAACAAGGAGGACTATGATGACCATATAATATTAATTATTTAAATACATTACTACAAATACATAATTCTATAGTAATAGTCCATTATATACATGTATAAAAACAGTTTAGAACAGTAGATTTCAATTATATCCATTCAATCAGAATCAGGAAACATATTACCTAAAACTTTTTTTTATATAATTGGGATGGCAAATATGCTGACGGTAAGTGGGAACCGTCGCCTATATACATGAACAGCACTACGGTTATATGTGACGCCCTCGATACAGCTTATGCGGTGGCATTCCGGACGAAGATGCTATATCTCCTTCACTATCTTATGAGCACCCTTTAACTGAAATACATTTTACAAAGCAAGCTGATCTTTAAATGAAGCAGATCTTTTACAAAGTACTTTTTATTTAAAAAAACATATTTATATGTGCCAGAACTTGTAAAAAGGATAGCTACTAATAATAGCTATAAATGATTGCTACTGTCGCTCGTTAATTTTGTGAGAGTCTTTAAAAATATGTTCGCATTTAGAAAATAACTACATAATTAAAATAATATAGATCCTACAATAAAATAATATATTCAACTCATAGTTTAAAATATTTTATAAATGGAACTATTATTTATTCAAATATAAATATTATTATTGAACAACCGACTCGTATATAAAAAAAATATGTAACAACCTTATTTAATTAAAAATACTGTCATAGGCATTGAATGATATGAATTAAATTTATCAAAAAATAATTATTACTTCTATAAAATATATATTTGTTCTTATTATAAATTTATCACTAAAAACCTCAACAGAGTGTATATTTTCATGTTTTCTAAATGCAAACATGTAAACATTTGTACTGAAACATAACAGGAGATGTATTATCAATCATCCCACTACGCCACGCCAAAAACGCCGCATTTCTTCATAGCAACTGTCTACTACGACTTTAGCATAATCCGATGCATCTGCCATTCTATTTTGAACAATATCCTTATATTCTTTATACGTTTTCGTCACCTCTGGCAAATTGTCTCGTATATCTGGCAGAGTTATATTTATATCTGGCAATGTCAGATTTGGAAAGACGTTCAGATTTGTGATGTTCGGCAGCGAGAAGGTCGGTAGATTCAAAGCAGAGAATTCGGACAAATCTAATTGGAAATCGGTCAAGTTTGGCATGACCAGATGATCCCAATTCTCATAGGTATAGTGTGCTGAAATTAATTGTTGACTTAACATATTTTCTTACATTAATAATAAATAATATTCATTCTGAACAATTCACACAGCGTCATCTAGTGCGAAACTAAGCAAAACTTGTGTTATTGGTACTAGACAATATATACATAGATACATTCCTTGTTGGAAATACATACATGATATAGATAACAAAACACCCAGACAGATACAAACAGTCATACTTCATGAAGACTAAGATATTATGGCTCTAATTACTATAATTACTTTATGTACCAATAACGGAGACAGATTACAATGCAAGCTGCTTGGCGGCTTAAATAGGTGAGACAGAAATACTCATGCAGACGAATTTTTAGTCCACCTTGATAATTTATATTAAAATAAATAGATTTTGATTGATGGCCTCGCTGGTCTAGTAAATTTTACTACCAACGACCGCGAGTTCAATTCCTCATATGCTACAAAAATTTGTATTCATGTATATGATTGATTATATGTTTTCTATGTATGTATTTACAAAAAAAAAATACTCTAAGTATTTCTATCAGTTGTATAGTACCCATAACACACGCTGTACTTAGCTTTCGACTTTGATAGGCGATGTGTTAAGTTTCCTGAGATATTATTATTATATTAGATATAAATGCTAATTTTATCTGTATACTTACAACCATATCCGATGAGTGGTAACAGCAAGAGTAGGAACCAGGGCCACCTACGTTGTTTGGCCACAGTTTTCGCTTGGTAGTTGTACGTGTACTTTTCACTCTGGCCGACATGGTTTGGCGTTATCTGGAGAAATAATATAGTAACAAAAAATGATTAATTGATTTGAATAAAATGTAATCTTTTATTTGTTAGAAATATAAGTTTATAAATATTTGGCCACAGTTTTCGCTTGGTAGTTGTACGACGTGTACTTTTCACTCTGGCCGACATGGTTTGGCGTTATCTGGAGAAATAATATAGTAACAAAAAATGATTAATTGATTTGAATAAAATGTAATCTTTTATTTGTTAGAAATATAAGTTTATAAATATAGTGTAGTTTCTTGAACTATGCTGTCATCAATATATATTATATTTATATTACCCAACCATATAATGCTATAGGCTATATACCATCACGATACGACTAATAAAGCTGTAATTAAAAAAGTTATAAATAAAAAAATAGTTAATAGAGTTGTGTCTGTTAGCTAGTTTGTGATAAAAGTGGTACATACAATAAATATTGTACTGTACATGTAATGTAATGTAATGTAATATGGACTGTATTATCCGCATTGAGCCTCTCATCTGGGCAGTTGTACTTGTAGATGCTAGACTACTAAAGCAACCATCTCATTCCACAAGCGCAGAAGGCTCTTGGTGTCTCATACTTCACAGACCGACTTCGCCGTTCCAAGGATTTGTGTGCGTTGTATGGCCACTGCTACACACTATAACTTCGGCTACAAAGCATTATATTGTACTATACAATAATATTACTTACAGTTTCAGTAACAGTGGTAACAGTGGTGGTAACTATTGTTTTGATCAAAGTATAAATCCAGTAAAACGGAGCTGCCGCTACAGAGGCCGCCTGTGACAAGATGCCAGCTAGAACAAGAAAGAGAATCATTTTAATAGGTAATATAATTACAATGACCTCTATAAAATTATATTACCTATGTATAAGTAAATAAAGTACAAAATGTATATACATGTACAAGTTCTATATTACCAATTAGTGTAATTCTAGTTTAACTACTTTTAGAAATCTATAGTAATATTATAAACAGAAAAAACTAGACAAACTATATTAGTTTGTCTAGTTTTTTTAGTATTCTAAAAAACTCTTCTATACATACTATAAAACTAAGTCCCCAACTGAACCTATCTGTATGTTTGCAGTAATCTCAAAAACTACTGAATGAACAAATTTTAAAGCTTTTCATTAATCAACGAGTGAAAACCGCAACAACTGATAAAGATTTATGTGTATAACTGATTACTATTTTATAAAAACTGATTGAAATACTAGTACAAAGTTGAGGTGGGTCGCTACTAAAATATAAAAATGGTGCACAAATATACTCTTCTAAATCTCCTTCTTTGTAGCCACTATAGAATTTTTTTTTAACATTCATTCTTTTGTACATAAATAGTAACACTTACTTATTTGTATTACTTATGGTTTTCAGGACTCCTGTTGCATACTCTAAAAATATTTGTCTGTCACCTTTATCTGTCATTAGTTTTGGGAAATTTTCTAATTTTATTTCAATATCTAGTAAATTTTCATAATGATATCTTTTTCTATTAAACATGGGGCATTCCGTTATGACATGTATCACAGACTGCGGTGTTTCATCGTCACACGGACAGTGATCGGAGTCTATTATTTTAAATCTGTGCAGGTACGACCTATTTCCTCCGTGACCAGTTAATAAATGCGTAATTGTGTTGTCGAACTTTATTGTATTTATAATTTTATGAGCGCCACTATATACATTATTAGTGAGTAATTTAGACTATATTTTATTTTCATAAGAATAGATATTCTTAATCGACTTTGGGTCGTTAGTAATAAAATAGGTAAATGTGTATGAATATGTATGTCTAAAAATATACTATACTAGCTTTTACCCGCGGTTTCGCTCGCGTTAATTTATCCCCTTAGGGGTGGAATATATCAAAATCCTTTCTTAGGGGATGCCTACATCATAGTAGCTTTATGCTTGCAAAATCTCAGCCCGATTGGTTTAAAATTGACAAAGTTTCATACAAACTTTCATCCCCTATTTTATCCCCTTGGGGGTAGAATTAATCAAAATCCTTTCTTAGCGGATGCCTACGTCATAACATCTACCTGCATGCCAAATTTCAGACCGATCCGTCCAGTGGTTTGGGCTGTGCATTGATAGATCACTACGTCAGTCACCTTTGAGTTATATATATTTAGATTTTCGTAAAACAAGTCTACCTATGTAGTACTTTTAGAGACGAAATAATTAAATACCTTTAGCCGGCCTCCTATCGGTGTACGGATACCGGTGCGACGGACCGACGATCTTATTGTACGTGCTGGTGACAGTGGTCGTGATTGTCGTGATGATGGCGAGGAAAAACCTAGTGATCCACCACCGCTGCTCGGCCGGAGAGTACCCACCGTTGCCGCGGTAATATGCACCTTCATCGTCTGAACTGTCCACTGTCTGTGAATTGAAACCAATCTTATTAATATTATAAACGCGAAAGTTTATGTGTATAGATGGATGTTTGTTACTGTTTCTCGCAAAAAGTATTGAAAGGATTTTGATGAAACTTTACAGAAATGTAGTTTATATATCAGAACAACATTTAGGCTATAAATTTCACGCGGGTGAACCAGCGGGCACAGCGAGTTAATCTATACATGAAGCTAAAACTTTGTACCCCTTTTTACGAAAATTGTGCGGACGGAGGGTGAAATTTCACACACTTGTAGTTATACAGAGGACTGCAGAGTACTAATGTCGTTTTAAAATTATGCATAAAATATATTAAATCAATAAAAAAAAACATTACACACACTACTATGTATTTGTGTATGACACACACATGCATATATACTCTTTTGTTTTTTTGTTAAAGTCTGCGGTCAAATTGAGAATAGATTAATATTGTTTGTATTTAATATTATTTGTCTAGAGTATTACGTAATATTATAGTAAAATTAATTATATTAATAATATAATTAGTAAATTAATTATAGTCAAATTTCTACCATTGTGCAATCACTGTGTGTAAATATACTAACCACTATTTTTTTAATGTCTTGGGGTGTAATGATGTCTTTCCATGAATTTTATCTAACTCCATGCTATTTACTTTTTTTCAAAATAATTCATATTGTTATAATCTATTCTATATGTTGCATTATTTTGACAGAAAACATACTTTCAATGCACGCAAAAAAATAGCATTCTTTAATACAAACGTGTATGGCAATAGTTTCATATTTATGGATTTTCATTTAATGTTAGGCATAAGTTAACAATGTAAACAAACTGACTTTAAAAAAATATATTGAATTGCGTTTCTTGCCGGTTCTCACTGTAACTAAACTGTATATTGGACGGTAGGGAAAAAATATATTAATACAAAAACTTGACTTTCATAGGTGGCTAAAATATCCTACATGAATAAATGAATTTGGATTTGATTTGATTAAATTTTCCCTTCATACATACATATTGCTAGTTTAATTAAAATATTTACTCACCGTATACCGTTTCCTGAGCGTGCTGGTCTTCCATATAGCGGTGCCAGTCAGCCGATCCATCTCGTCCACGGACGTGTTGGGCCCCTGCGTACGGAACTGCGACAGTGACCGCCGAGACATGTTCGGGACGGCCACTTGACCGGGTGCGAGTTCCACGCGGTCTTTTGACAACGGCGAATACGTGTAGTCCGTTTTGGGGTATTTGCTGGAAAAATACAAAAAAACATTAAATGCTTTTCACGTAATTCATTATACAAGACAGATTCATGAGATTCTGTTATGATGACGTCTGCATTGGTGCCTCGGTCTCAACTATTTCTATGCAAGTAGTCTCGCAAACAAAAATGTTCAAGGGTCATGTCAATTTAATCCACTGAAATGGAAACGCAAATATAACATATTTTATGATACTTGTAATGCTGATCATATTTAAATGATATATAACATTTATGGCTTTCCATCAGACAGGCAGTCAGCATGTTTGCCATTTTCGAGCTGGTATCATGTCAATTTGAAAATAAATAAGTACAAAAGTATGAAAGATATGGTTAATTATTTTGTCACGTACGTATGTCAAAGGGTCGTTATGAGAGTGACAAGAGGTATACAAGTATAAGGATTAGGCAGTCAGTTCTTTCCGTATATATTGTTAGGAATATGGCGTATATATTTGTATTCTTAAAATGTGAAATTTTGTTATTTCAAGTTTAATACATGTCACAGTAAAGGCACACATGTACTATTGGTATTTATGGAATACACAATATATATTTATAGAAAACAATTGATAATTTAAATATCCTTGACTACGAGGAAACACAAACAGGTACTTCATATTAAGTTTAATCAGAAGAGTATAGAATATTATATTTATTTATTCAAATAAAGTGAAGTTTCAACACAAATTTTTCCAATTTACCATTCATTAGAAATTTAATTTTAGCAAAGAACAATAACCAACAAACGTACCTATTATAGAGTAGAATTTGTCAATTTTAAGTTAATACGAACTACCAAATAGTACAAATTCATTATAATTAAAATAACTTTTAAACTTAATTTAGAGAGATTACCTGATTTTTAGATAGAACAGGTGGTGCCTTATACACAGCAAAAAGAAAAACGAATCATTTGAATTATGTCAGTAATCTATCATTTGGCACTAAGCTAATAACAAGTATGATTCACTTTATTGACGGATTACTTCTCAGTCTCTAATAGCTTTCCTTTAGAAGCCTCTACTGAATACAAAACCGTGACGTATCAATATATATATAATAACTTAAAATTAGTTTTAATACGAACTCTAAATTATTATATATATTGATTTAATACGAATACTAGTTTTAATACTATACAAACATTTCTAAAAATAAATATACAAAATAATGAGAAATTTACAAATATATTAAAATTAGGTATATTTTCAATAGGTGTTATATAATTAACTGTTACGAATATTATCAAATACCTCGTAATAGTATCACATCTGTGCTCTTCATACTTGAACGACCACATAACTGGAGCAGAATACAACAGTCGTCCCACAACACACCTTACATACTAACATTGACACGGAAATTTCAATATATGTGTATATTAATTGCAGCTATATCTATATATAATTAATGAGTCACTGAAACACTAAAACTACTGTATCTCGAAAAGGAAAAACTTGGTCAAACTTTAATAATTGATTGGGAGGCATGCTGTTCTATATATTTGTTATTATTATGTGATATACACATTGTATTTTAAACCTCGACACAAAAAGAGAGCTGTTATAAATTTGGCGGATATGTGTGTCTGTCTGTGGCATCGTAACTCCTAAAAGAATGAATGAATTATGATGCAGTTGATTTTTAGTACAAGTGGTTCTAAGGTACAATTTATCAGAGATTTTGATTTGAAGGTTATTTTTAGGGTTATTATTGTAATATAGGTCAAAGTTTTTTTTTCATATAAGATATTTTATATGACTATTAATTTTATATTATTATTTTTCAACCCTACTGCCCCGAGTTTAATATTATCTAATTAATTTATGAAAAATTCATACTTCATAGATAGAATAAAACGAGTTAAACAAACCGATCATTTGGATAAAGCACAGACTCATTTCAACATACTAACTACATGCCATGAAACACAGAAATTTAATTATTTATGTTTTTTAAATAAAATATATTTCAATATCCAGTAATGATATTAATTATATTATAAGGATCACTATAATTAATATTATTAATGTATTGTGTGTGCTATAAAAATTATTTATAAATCTGTTCAAGCAAACAAATTTAACATACCAAAAATACAATTCAATTTATAAACTTCTTAGTCCGTACAACATTTTGATAAGATAATTCATTTATTCACTCAAATAAAAACAATACTAACATCATTTTAATCAAAAACCAAGTCGCGAGTTACCTATATATAAATACACAGTATAAATAAACACAGTCGTTCAAATGTTCTTAGCAAAACCACTATAATTCCACACAGATATTAATCTCATAATTATCAGAAATCATACAATAATGTACTATTATTATTGCAAGTGTTCTGCTAGAATGTTTCACACATTTTACTGAACGTTAGCGCTTCAGTATGACATTTGCATGCAACGTTAGTACAAATATAGCACAACACATTATTGCCATGCCCTGAGCCCTGGTACTGTCTTGCGCTTTTACTATTTCGGTTACAGCTTTTCAACAGAATATGTATATCACACATGGCAATGCATGTATGTACGACATAAAGGAGCTTTCAAGAGGATTATTGATAAATAAATATTAATTTTTAACTAATTTATATTTTCTAGGCCTAATGAGGTAAAACATAATGGGACATTATTTTTCAAAATCTCATGTAGAGCTATATTTATCGCAAAATAAATTTGATTATAATTATGCTTAGGTATACTAATATTATAAAGAGAGAGAGAGCAATTATTTTGTTAGTAGTTAGTGGTTAATAAGTTAGTGGATTGAGTTTTCATAACATTGTGGGTTCGTATATATTAACACAATATATTAGCTTATATCACTCTGCAATAACATATGTTTCAAATAGTGAAACAATGAGTAGAACTATATTATTAGTAATTAGTACCCATTTCTGACATCAGATCGACCTCCACGCGTCCCCCTGAAAACTATTGTGGCAAATTATTCATAATAGACTAACTGATCTGACTTAATTTTCATTGTACCTACATTGATGCCCTGCCAGCGTATATAGTTAGCGCAGGTAGGTGCATTCCATTATCACCCATTAAAAACAAATAACTGAAGGAATTCCTCACAACGGTGCAGTGTTATCGGAGTTTAGTTTTTTAAATATAAAATCCTTCTCTTTCTTTGAAATTTTAGCATAATGTAAATCGTTTTTAATGTAAATCACTTCCTTGAATACCTTATATACCTATTCAATTTTGAACATACCTTAATGTCAATACATTTTCAGTCGTTTCTACATCTACACAAGTCACTATCTTAGCCATTCGTAGTTAGTTATAAAACATTCGTCACAAATTAATAAAAAATTCACAAATCACATTAAAATTATCACAATGTCATTTAGTTATCCAAGCCAGCTGGTTAACTAGTCATTTTAACGAAAGTTCGGTATTACTTGATACGTTATTTTAAATTACCTTCGACAAAAAAAAAAAAATAATGGACAATTTGGCGGGAAGCCACGAATTATGATGTACAGTTTATGTTTGTAGTTTCATTTGTAAAAGAATAAAATATAAAAGAAGGTACATTAATGGTAGATATATACCAAGACAAACTCACAAATATATGTATATGTATGTATATATTATACTACTTAGAACTTAGAATGATACATAGTTTGTATTGGTCTGAGAGTCTTATATGTATTTGTGTAGGTAAATATTTATATATGTATGTATATATGTGTGGTTGCGGACTCATAACACAAGCTCTGCTTAGCGTGGTACAGGATGTTGCTGAGTGAATTGTCCAGGGTTATTATATTATCAATTTTGTTCAATCATAGGAAATCTTCAGTCTCATGGACACTATTTATATATATATTTTTTATTATTTATACCTAATAATTTGGTTTAATATATAGGTATGTGATTCCTTAATATTATAGGTATTATATTAATTATACAGTATAAAAACGGATACATCTGACAGACAAACAAATGACCTATAAATTTCCATTTTATGCGTGGAGGTTACAAAATTAAAACTATTTGTACTCCACACTATAATGCAAAAATTATACCTGATACATGACATAAACAGTTTAGGGAAGCTTATGAAATATATAACAGAAGGAATCGAATTAATCTATTAATGTATGAACACGGAACACTTAATGTTTGTTCAACACGCAAACGCTCTTTACTGTATTTGTCCAACTACTAAATATTCGATAAAGCACATCTCCAATATTTATGACCATCTTATAAAACATACCATCATGGCATTTAAAAAAAAATCAAATTAATATGAATTATTAAATGTATTGCTAAGTACAAAAGTTGAGAACAGGACAGAACGTACCAATTTATCTATATTTTTATATCAACTTGAAGATTAACGGTGGGTTCCGTATGACGAAAAAAAAAAGAAAATATAGCACGCAAAAATGACTTTGTATGAGTTTGTAAGGGTAAAAATAAACATATTTCCCACACGAACTGTAGTTGTCAATTTAAACATTTTATAGAAGAATATAATGAAAGGGGTGGTTGGAGCGGGATAAAACAGGCTAGAATAAAATAGTTGAGCATGCACAAGAAGAGAAGGAGGTAATAGGTTTCAAAATTTCCAAATGTTAGTCCGAAAAAAAAAACATTTTGTAGAAGACTTGTAAAAATATGAAATGCAAATTAAAAATAACTTACTTCCAATATTCTCCAGCCATCTTGTAAAGTCTTGAAGGCAGATGCTCAGGGGTGGGGTCCCTCTCCAGCAAGGTGCTGGTGTCGGCTAGCGCCTGCTCCGCGAAAGAGACTTCCGTTGAATTGCTGCTGTAAGCCGGACTGCCGATTCGGAAGGACCTGCGACAAACAACTTTTTTACTATGAAGAAGTCAAGGGAAATATAACGATTCAGTCATGACAAGTGTCCATTGCAGTTAGTGTTGACAATTTTAGCATATACTAATATTATAAATGCGAAAGTGTCCGTCTGTCCATCAATGACCTTTTCAGGAATAGGAAAAACATAACAGACAGACATTATTATATATTCGCAATTACAATATTAGCACAGATAAGTAACCATAAAGTATTCCGGTTTCAGTCTTGATTACAACACATTGAAGTGGTGATTCTGTTCGTGATCTTTTAACATAAAACTATTTTTTAAACAGCGTCCAAATACCGGGAGCTCATCAATATTGTTACCATGGTAAATATCCCGTTTATATAATGTATACAATCGTTTTGATGGTGTATATTTTATAGTAATAGGCATCGCAAACAAGCTAACAGTGGGGCGTAACTGACGTTAACCAATAACTACCATTTATACCTAATTGTAACCCTCATTCTTACATGTAATTTATAATCATTTATGTCATATCCAGGGGTGCTAACCGTATGAGAATACTTGTTCAAACAGGATATTGAACAACAAGTAGATTTTATACCTTGTATAAATACGAGATTTAGGCTAATAAATGATGTATGAGATTTTATCAGATTTTTCATTTGTTCCTACAAGGTTAAGTATTTTGAAGTTGGCAACCCTGGTCATTTATAACCCTAAACATTGTATATACGACATTATGACCTATAAAATCCGTCAAACTACTAAGTTAAGCTAATAAATAATGTATGATGAAATTTTATCTGAATTTTCATTGTATTGTACGACGCTGTGTTTTAAAGTTAGAATAGTCATCACGTTTTTCAATCTACCGCTCATTCGGAAAGCTGTCTCATCACAAGAAGAATGAACAAGAAACTTGGGTGTTGCGCTTTTAAATAATTTTATTGTCACTTTACATTTTTAAAATGATATGATACAAAATGAAGATAAACACATAATAAAAACAGGAAACAGCAACAATAATCTTATTAATATTATAAACGTGGAAGTTTGTGTGAGAGGATGGATGGAATTCTTAGTGTTTGTAACAATAAAAATATAATATTATTTATCTTTATTATTTTTTATATACCTAAACAGGTAGGTATTTGAGTAAAATGTCTGCCTCCTACACCGAGACATGAGGTCAAAAATTTAATTACAACATATTTAATAAAATATTAAAAAACGATGGCTTAATTCATGTAAACGATATTAATTTAAAATTTAATAATTAAATTAACATTTTAAGAAGATTATATGTGTTATATCAAATTAAGTTATATAGTCAACAAGGTCGCTAAGTGGACAACCTACGACACGAATGACATAAGGTCACCGACTGACCCATGTTTACAGTGACGAGCACGCTACTAAAGAAGCGCGTGCGCGAGTGCAGTCAAAAATTTACCCTTTTCGACTTCAAAAGGGGGACTTAATAAGACGCAAAATGCAATGTTAGCAAGAATTCAACTAGATTCGTCGGATCCAATTTCGGTTCCAAGTCTGTTGTTTGATGTGGAACAAAATATAATGACAGTAATATGAAAAACAAACAAGTTGAAAGTAATCCTGATGGCAAGTAACCACAAACTACGACACGAATGACACAAGGTCATCGACTGACCCATCTTTAGAGTGACGAGCACGCTACGAAGGCAGCGCGTTCGCGTGCATCAAAAAAATTACCTCTTTCAATTTCAAAAGGGGAACGTTTACAATACCGTTGTATATTTTTGTTAAGTTACGTTACATATGGACTACCACAATATTTTGCTAGAATTCAAGCAGATTCGTTGCATCCTATTCTGGTCTCAAGTCTGTTCATTCTGGAACAAAATGTACCGACAGTAATATTAAGAGAAAAGAAGCTGACGGTCATCTTGAAGGTAAGTAGGTAACCATCGTCTCTATACATGAACAATAGTAACGACATCCTACAATCGAAACATAGCTTAAAAAGCAAGCTGCTTGGAGACTGATTTAGATGAGTCTGGGGTGCACGATGACGTATTTTCGCAGTCTATCTATACTAAAAGTATATTCTAGTACATAGACATTTTATACTACTATATAGAAATTAAATTTGCAAGAAATTTAAATATTTTATATTAATATTTGTTATTCCAGATAAGAGAAGTCGAAAAGTAATCGTCTGTCATGGTATAGCCATGGTATATAAAGAAAATATTAGATATGAATATGGATAGTTATCCTAATAACGGCCCTTGCAGAGGAAGGCCGAAAAAGAGATGGATGGACTGTGGGAAAGATGATATGGCATGAATAAATAAATAACGAGATGACTGCGAACAGGGGTGAATGAAACAGATATTACGCCAACCCCAAATGAACAGGATAAGAAAGAAGCAGATGATGATAAACTTTTATTCTAAATGGCGTAGAGAGAGAGACAGGAGACTACTTTAATTTATTTTCAATTTCTATCAGAGGTGACGGGAGTCATTCTAAGAGTCAAATGTAAATATTTTGACACTAAGAAAGATCTTTGGTGATGTTCAAATTGGAACTCATAACTCCACTGGGCCAATGCAATGCATGTTGCATTCAAGGGAATTTTTCATATAATATTGTTTATTTAAATTATGTTGTATGCGTTCTCGGAAAGTACGTACAATTATTTTACGTCAGCAGACGTTTCGTAAATATTCAGGCGAGTGCAAAAATTTTGGACGTGTGCCAACTGTACCGCAAACGTCTTTATTTTTTATTTTTCTGTGCACCGTTTCAATTTGGTTAAAGTATCCATACTTCCATACCACATATTCCATTGTAAAGGCAAGCCTGTATCTTACTATTCGTTGTTACCTTTTCAAGACTCAACGGCTGACCAGAGCTTAATAAGACTTGAACTTAAAATAGATTCATCCGAATCATAAGCTACATCGCTACTATTTTATATTTTGTGTTCATTAATTGTGTCCAGGATAAATTAATAAAATTTGATGAACAAGTTTGGGTTCTTTGGACAAAATAATTAATTGTTTACGAAATTTATGAAAACATTAACCCGGATTAGAAAATTCTTTCATTATTAATATTACATTACACAACATTTTGAAAAACATAATCACAGTAGACTAATTAAATAACTTAGATAAATATCTAAAAATAGTAAAACAGATATTTATAATATTCAAATATAATAATAATATATGTACAACGTATTTATTCACTCTAATATTCTAATATTGGAGTGAATAAATACATTGTACATTCTAATATTCATTTTCTGCCTGCAAAGACATTATTTAAAAAAATACTATTGCAATAAAATGCATTCCGTAGTTTTGTAATTCAAATTACTTACCATTCGTACAGGAAAAAGAAATCACTATAGGTTCTCATTTGTATGTATTTTAACTTACATTATTAATCAAAAAAATATACAATAAAGCCAGACAACGAAATATACTTCTACAAGTATATATATTTTAGATAAGAGATCATATAAACTTAATTCGTTCTCAGCAACACAGAACCATTACTCACTTTATCCCAACCACAGAGTAAACAATCTTTATCTATAACACTTGTGACAACTTAACGTATACCCAAAGATTGTTAGAAGCGCGAACTTCCTTTCGCTGGGAATTTCGTATTTTAGATCTTTCGGGTATTCACCAGTTAAACAAATAAGAATTGTAGTCTGGTTAAACCAGTTATAAAACATGTAACGGAATTGGAACGTGGAAAAGACATTTCTGGCATTGTATTTTTTTTTATGAGTTTTTTTTTATGTAACTGGAATGACGAACAAGATGGCCGCCCTTGTAGATTGAAAAAGTCAGTCATCATGTTACGATGTGACGAGCATAGTATTCGCTCATGAATAGTATAGTGTAATAGAAAGTAGATTAGAATAGAAAAATCTTTTTTCAAATAATGCTCATGGCTAGCTATTGCGGAAGACGAAGATGGTATGCTTCCATACTCTGTCATTTCTCTGCCATATATCACCCTAATAAAATACAGCTTACAAACTGTTTTGCGTCTGGCTGAAATGGGTGAGACAGAAGAACACTACACTTTAATAAAAATAGAGCAAAGCGACACATTTGTTTCTACTAAGGCAATATAATCATATTAAAAAGATTAGTATTATTCCCTAGTGGCACTAAAAAACTAAATAATTACATTAAGAAATAATCTCATTAGTATGTTTGCCTGCCCGTAATGAACTAGTCATGAGGGGCCATTCATAAATTTCGTCATAAATTAAGGGGAGGAGAGTCTACAAAATATGATATTCCACCACGCTTCTTAGAGTGTCATAACCAACTGTGACCAGGGTGAGGGGGGGAGGGGAGATGTACTGAAATTGTTGTGTAATTTACAGATGTCTGATGGAAGGGGATTGTTAGTAATGAGGATTATGAAGCCATTGTAGGATTGTACCAAGGATTGTACCATGTCAAGTTGATATCCACGTTCCCCCTGGAAAGCATCATGTTAAATTCCTGGTGAATTTGCGACGACGGTCTAATAACTAACCAGACTCATGTGAATGTCATCATTTCTTCAGTAAATTTGTACACATGTTGGTTTGTAATAAAGATTTTTTATTTCGGACTACTCTTACTGCTGTTGACCGCAGCTGTCCTTTATAGCTTTACCCGATGATAGGGGGCGAATGCAGATGGCACTCCAAATACGCAGAAGGATTTCTGGAGCGGCTGAAGGCCAACTCCCGCCTGGTATTAGTCTGAGGGCACCGCTAGGGCTTCGAACCTCAACTCAGGCCGTCGTAATTTCGATCTCCGTTTTAATTGGACGGGGGATCGATCGGAGAGGATAAATAAATTTATAAATAAATAAATAAAATTCTTACCTATCATAGCCCACATTGTACGACGTGTGTATAGGGCTGTAGGGAATATCAGCGAAGTTGGAATACTGGCTGGAGTGATGGGAGCTCGACGATGCCTGTTCATATCGACTGTTGACTACGTTCTGTGAACAAACAAATACTATTCAATTTTCACCTGTAAAATAGACGCAAGAAATTTGCATAACTACATCAGTCATTCTAAATTATTTCCGTTTAATTTATTAGGTTACTTACAATAAGGTTTTTAATATGTTTGTGACCGACATAAAAACTATGAATATTGTTTTTGAAGCACCTTACTAATATTATAAACGCGAAACTGTGAGTATAAATGGATGTAGGTTTGTTACTCTTTAAAAAAAAATTGCACTATAATTTTACAATTTCAATAAATATTATGTAAATTGGGAGAGATAAAATGATAAATGTCAAGTAACTGTGAGAGAGTAAATCGAGCGACACTTGTAGGCTGTGTAGTGTAGCCTGGATTGATTCGTCTGGCACGTATGTGCACGGATACACACATTTCAATGATAAATCTTATTAAGGTTTCAAACTAACAGTGAAGTTTCTTTTCTCATTTTACAAAAAATATATGTACCTAGGGCGTGCAGGATTAATGCTTGTCCGGTGGAGGGAATTATACCGAGTATATTATGATTCATCACTAAAATAATCAACAGCAATCAAAACCAAAAAATTTTGAGCTCTTAGGTTAATGCTTCCTAATTTAAGATGATAAAAAACTAAAGTTACAGAAGTATTTTGGTCCTGCTTTTTGAAATAAATTCTTAAATTAAAAGATATTGATTTGACAACTATCGCAATGACCACCAAAATGACGAAAAATAAATATGATCATGAAATTTACGACAAATTTATACGCCAGTTCAGCAAGATCATCTCATCAGTCGCCGTCAGCGATGATGTCAGCACTACTGTTATGACGACAAAAACTTTATGTTAAGGTGGAGTTAGACCAAACGAAACATGCTCGTTCTTCCTTACACCTCCATTTTTTTTTTTTTGCACAGATAGAACTTTTATTTTTGTTAAAGGCACACATACAAGGCAGTAATATAAAAAAGTAGATACACGATTACATTTCTCAGTTAACAAAATACAATATAGTTATCGTCCGGTGAAGCTGTAAAGCCAACTTTGGCCAACAGCATTAGAAAATATCGAAAAATAATTAAAGGACAAAAGCAGTTTAATTTGGCTCTAATAGAAATAGTAATCATTTTTATTCAAATAAACTGAATACAAGCACTTTTGAATATTCATATTTTTTTATTCTACCACTCATTCGGAACGCAGGCTCGTCACAAGACGAATGAGCAAGAAACTTTGGTGTTGCTCTTTTGAATAGATGTAAAAAATATACAAAATATAGGTAAGTATATACACAGCTTAAAAGCATTATGTGAGAGATTGTCACATACTATACTAATTGCTATTGTGTTTGATCTTTTATCTTAAAAATATAGGATAGATTAATAGGCCTATTCTTGCTGAATCTACAATTCGAAAATGTGGTGGAATGAAAAAAATCAAATGTGTTATTATACAAACACAAAATTATTGTACGTTTATTTTAATAAGATATCAAATAGATATCTTTAATTGTCAAAGTTGGATTTACACTAAATAGTTTAAATCTACCTTTAGATGTTTGTACACGATTTCTTTGCGGCACTTGCAACTCATAAAGTACAGACGCGTTCCAATGGCTGTATTACTATGAGTTGATGACTCATTGCAACATGCTTATCCTGGCAAGTGCTTTAATTTGATTGAGAAAACGGTCATTGACTGAGCGGAACATTCAGTGATAGGTATTCATAAGCTTTTATTCCTCGTTGGTCTAGCTGTTTAACACGCCGCTTTATTTTCTATGGTAGCGGGTTCGATTTCTCGCACGGTACAAACATTTATATTAAAGAGTATAATTGTTTGTATAGCTCTAGGTTTTCTATGCATACATAATATGTATGCATAGAAAACCTATGTATTTATAAAAAAAAGTATCTATGTATTTATATCAGTTGCTTAGTACCCATAGCAGCTCTACTTAGCTTGGGACTAGATGGCGCTGTGTAAATTATTTTGTGTTATTATTATTATTTCACTTACTAATAGAGTTGATGTTTATTTTGTACCTCTCGTGAGAGTGAGCGAGAAAAGATTCTTCTAAATCGATAAATGGGAAGTAATAAAAATATAATTATACCACTACGACGGAAATAATCCATATACATATTTTAAAAATCTGAAAGGAGGTGAAATATACGATCAAAGTGTGTGCAGACGAAGTGGCGGGAACAAAATTAGTTAAAAGTATTAACATAGTTTATCGGATCATAATATGACAAATTTTATGGTAAATAAGGCATCTAACTCTCTCGACGTTATGAGCTAGTAATTCGTGAAATGATAATTATAGTAGAAAGATAGAGATTTTTGATCTTTGTGCTATAATACTACACATTAAAGGAGTATCAAATTTTAGAGTCACCTTTATGGTCAAGACTGTGCAGGACGGAGAGAGATAACAAGAAGATTAAGTCGGAATCGCGATCACGAATTAGGAACTCCAAACTGAGACACGACAGATTAAAGGGATTTATGGTTATTTGAGGATTTTATGGCAGGAAGTACTAATAGGATTAATACACACGTATAGGAAGCAGTGGAATTCTATTTAATTCGAAGAATTTCGGGCGAATAGATAGAAAACTTTATTATTTCTGAAAATATAGAAAGAATCAAAGCAAATATCCGGAACTCATACATTCCTGCATGGCACATGTTTGTGTTAAGTGCTACCAAATGAAGATGGGAATAAACTATTTTACTAATAGAAAGATGATTTCATGACTTCATGATTTTTTTTGGAATGGCAAACAAACCGACTGAAACCTGATGATAAGTAATAATCGTCACCTATATATATATAATGTCATTAATGTTAGCATGTGACGGCCGTGATACCCCATGTGTTGCCATTTCGGAGGACTAAGACGTCATGCCTCTTATCTTGTAACTTCACTTACTCAAATACCATAGAACTGGTAGAGAAAGGTAGTCATGCTGAAGACTTTTTATTTCATATAAGTCGGTACACGTATATTTTTAGTATCATTTCTAAAAATTATAAATTTAATGTTACATCTAAAGCAAAACTAACCTTGAACAATTGAGAGTACATCCTCGCAAACACAATATTACAAAACTACGTGCAATTCCCCGATTGATCCACATAATACGCGTTTTCGACTATCGTCATAGCAACGTTTGGACATACCTCACTCCATTGGTTCCTTGGATATATCTAAATAGCACATCACTTATTAGGTCAACAGAAGAACTTCAAAATTTGATTATAATCATTCGTGTATTGGGAATATGCTCCACAATCTTCCCAACACAACTGAAAGGCCACAGATGGCTTGAAATAATAATACCCAAATGTGTAGATGGGCGATTTAAAAATAAAACCCACGCTGGCCGCGGGAGAGACTGATTCATGTTATATTTGGAATATGTTTACTAGACTCTATGTACTTAGTTCTAAGTCTACTTTAGATAATCTACCACTTAGTGTAATTAGTAGGAAAACATTAACATTTGATCCTATTACTTTCAGGGCAATGTTTTATCATTACAGGGCCAAGATTTTAAACCGTTATGACCACAATTCAATGTCAATAAAGAAGTGCGGGCTTAATTAAGATGGCGCCAGCGCCGTTAGAAATCCCATGCTCGCTACAGGAAATTGGGGTTGTAGGCGTCTGTTAAATTAAATTAGTACATAGTTGAACGTTATTTATGGATCCGACAATTGTAATGTAGTTAGATAGATAAAAGAGGCGAAATTGTACTAAGTCGTTTGAATGGTTAAGTACAAATCTACAACCAGCTTGTTTCCATGCAATGTACGTGTTAGAAGGATGCCAATGATGGATATAGCAGTGAAGAGATCTTATGATTAGTACATTAGCGTTGTACATTCCTTGCCCGCTTTAATGGATTTGCTTGAAGAAAACGGTATTAGTTTCATGCTCGTAAAAAACAAAGCTGGCTTTATACAACTATTTATCAATAAATAGTATAAAATCTTTAAATTGTTCTGAGCTGCATAAAACCAGCTTAAAAAAAAATTTATTAATATTTATAGAGAGGCCAAATTTTATGAGTTTGATATACATATATAGTGTTTTCTATGGAACCATTTCACTTTTCAGAAAAAATCTTACTTCGTTTTAAAGGTACATTATATTATTACTACATATGTTTTGTTTAGGTCCCGTAAAATCGGGAAGCTCATCCCGATTTTACGGTGATGATATGATATAATATTTCACGGCTTTAGAAGGCAGTGGGTGGTTTAGGTTACTCAACAATATTCAATATATAGAAATTAGGTAATGTCTATTGTCATCAGCTATTGTTTGGAAATTCATTTATTACACATACTTAGTCCATATACATATATAATATACTATTGTTTTGTCTATTGTTCTTAGAAGTTAATGGAAGCATAGATTAGTTTGACCGGGCATTTCCGTACTTTAGCATAACTGTGGACCAGCGTGCGTCTGGAATATATAAGTACCTACCGAGATAGACTTTCTAAAACATTGTCTGTGTACTTTAGTCTGACGTACTTCAGTCGCCAAGTAGCTTGCTTAGTAATCTGTGTATCGGTTAAAGGGCCAAGATAAGGGAGTGAAATTTCAGCTTAAGGATATGATATTAAGATAGCATACGAATATGGACTTCGGAAAATCATATTTGGCCCTTGCGTGGATTCTGCAATCCATAAAGGATTATAAATTCGCTACCTAACTTGACATGCTCATCCTGTCACTTCTTCACTGCTGCGCCGTCAGCATAGTTATATTGTTAGCTCCGGATCATTTCATCATAATTCACACAAAATCATAACAACAACACAGAAGTAGTACAAATAACTTTTTTTTAAACAAAGGCTCTGCACTTTGGCATGACTTCAAATTAGTCAAGATTGCGCAATTTAATTAGTCTTGTACGCGCACCTTTATCACGTTTACTATAATTAGAAACTGGAGAATGAAGAACGAGAATACACTCCCATGATTTTAAAATAGTAGAACGAAAATTATTACTATTTTGGTGTATTATATGTATTATGTTTTGAATGAAAAATGTGAACTGTACCAAAATTAATAATAATATGATGGGTTGATGACATGACTTGGGTTAGATTTATCAATCAGATGAGATTCATAAACCTAACCCAAGTCATGATCATTCAGTAAATACATACACATATGCACACAATAATAATAATCTCAGGATAATTCACACAGCAGAATCTAGACCCAAGATAAGCTAGCTAAAGCTTGTGTTATGGGTACTAGACGAAAAAAAAGTATGTATTTACTGAAATACATAGATATTTTTTTTCGTAAATTCATAGAAACACATTGAAACACCCAGACCGGTACAAACAAACATAATCATACAAATGTATATGCCGCGCGAGGAATCGAACCCGCCATCATCGGAAGTAAAACGGTGTGCTAAACCACAGACCACCGAGGCCGTTAAATTAAAAAAAAAATTCTATATTAATCATACGCCATATTTATGTTACGTATAGTCGTGTACTAGTAGCCTAATTTGCAACATAATCGTAACCTTGATGCGGCGAAATTAGTTGAGGGTTACGTGCTCGCGCGCACCAAACGCACTCGCTGTTATTCTTAATATGTAGTATCAATTTAAAAACAAACCAGCATTTCAAGACCGAGGAGTCACCGAATGACCTTTTTGAATGCTTGCATTATACAGCTTCCTGTTCGTTATCTAACCCGAAATATACATAAATTTGCATAATTAAAACGAATACTGATTAACCAAGTCCAATAAACATGACTTATATTTCTGGAAAATGACTTAAGTATCATATTGAACTTAACCTAATATTATTAAGTAGAATTAGTACATTTATTTTTTATTAATCCAAAAATAAATTTGGTAATTCTTTCAACTATAAAAAGCTAATTTATTCTGCCAGGTAATGACTATTATATTTAATAAATACATAAAGGAATCTATAATATATACATCGTGCGAGACGGAATAGGTCGCAAATCTTAAACTTTACTAGCAATCCGTCCTGATTTCGTTTGGATATTTCAATGCATTTCCACAAAACGTTAATGAAATTATACTGTAGAATCTTCCTCATATAGGTACCACTAGATATATAAAAATCCGTTTGGTACAGACAGACTTGGCGGGGGTCTTTACATTATAATATTGTATATAGAATAGAAAAGCTTGAACACTTATTAAATTGTTATTGAGAAATATGTAAATTTTACCAATTATATTTGGATCTTAAAACAAATTTTGATGATAACAATCTGCAATATTAATATAATTTTCATTTAACATCTATAAATAAAACATTCGTAATACATATTTGATTTAAATAGGAGAATATTTGAATGAAACCATCGATATTTACAATTTACAATGAGTAATACACGTATTTTATTTTTTCACGATTGCGTTGTTTGAATCACGCGTGAGTGACTAATTTTTACTAAAAATCTCTTTGTATCTCGAGGTAAATAATAGATCTACGTAAGTCAACTAACTATAACAAGCGTAAAGAAGGAAATTATATTGCTACAAGCTATTTACGTTCTATAGTAATCATTTCGTTAAAATATCATCAAAACAAATATTGTGGCCAAGTTAAAAACATGCTTATAACGTCATCAGCTACTACAGCATATAACTTCGTTACAAACAACAATTGGTATATTAATAATAATTGAGTCGCTCAATTAATAATTTAATTTCACAAATGACTACCCGTTTGAGATTATGTATAATTAAATTAATATGAGTCAGTTTTACACGAGAATTATTAGCAAGAGTTACATAATATAACCGCTAATAAATGATAAAAAAAACAGTAGCTTGTAGACGTGTAATACAGCAGAGCGCATTTACAGAAGTGTATAACATAACATAATAAGTTTTTAAATTAGACGCGGTCCTTATTTATACGTGTAATTAGGAAAAACACAGGATCTTACCATGTTTAATTTATTTTTATTGAGTTCCCGATATTTCGGCAGCGTTTCAACCAAAGATAATATATATATAAAGGATGCTATTCAGGTGCTATTTTAAATATATAAAACGGCCAGTGGTTCTCATTGTAGATCTAACACAATAGCCAACTTACAATTGGCCCAAGGTTGCGTATAAAAGCAACTAGTCTTACCTGAAATATTTCCTTATGATGTCCTTTAGAGAGTTCCGTGTCCTCTGAAGAGTAATCCGATGTCTTGACCTGCGATGTCTTCTCTATGCGGGTCGAGTGCCGTGTACGGTGCGCAGGCGGCGAGTCTTCGTCGTCCACTTCAAAGATGGGCTCGGATGTCGCCTTGTTTGTGGTGGGATGCAACTGCCTAAAAGAAACGATAAGAAGATAAATTTATAATGTTTTCTTAATCTTCATAGATATAATGTAGGACCTAACCACTGTCGTCTCAAAGAGTCATTGATGGAAAATTAAGTCTAATATAAACTTGACAAAAATAAATTAATGATTCTTTTTGATAGGACGTCGGAAAGAAATATTTTTTTTATTTTTATAGAAAGTGGGAACAGTGATAGACTACACTCATTATTTTAGTTTATGCAACAAATAGAGGTTTTGAAATCTAATACCAGATAGGATAGATATATTTGATTATCTCTTTAATTGTATTATTGTCCTGTTGTTTGTACAAAATCAACACAGGAATCATTTTGATCGCAATTTTGTGTAAATGACATTAAGACATTCTTTGAAATTAATAAAAACATTATGCTCACCACTTCAACACAGGAAATGGTGAGCAGAATATCATCTCTTTAAGAGTCTTAAAAATTTAAGTACTAAAAGTGTAATAAAAGTTACAGAAGACCTTGTAGAACGTAATTGCATTTCGAACGTTAGAAAAGTGTGATACTGACAAGATGGCACGACACTACAACAGAAGGTACTGCAACGGAGTCAACAAGACTTAGCATCGAGCCTTAGCTCTCAATGATAAGGTCACTTGTTTCATTTACTTTATCAAAGTCATTGATGAGTTTCCTCTGTATATATTAATACTTATGAAAGAATAACAACATTTGAAGCAAGGTACATTTATACATACATAACAAATTCCGCGACTTTGAGCGCTCTAATCCGTAATCTGGCATTAATGTGGGCAAAATTAAAAACACGAACTAATAGAATACTGCACCGCCTACGTAAATGTTATACACTAGGAACAAGTGGAAGATCATAAGATGAGCAAGAAGTGAGGTCGGTTATGCCAAATTCACCGGAAGTTAACCACGATGGTTTCTAAGGAAGGGGCGGTCGACAAGATACAATAAAACATAAAAATACTAGTGACACCAAACCCCATTACTAACAATCCCTTTTATTTCCTATAATCACATTAAACTTTAAAAGACATAATCACTAATTCCGAGTATTCCAAAATTTAACCCGTCTTTTCCACTATCTCGTCCCGTTTCATGTTTCTTAGTGGCAACACTAGCCTCTTGCCAGTTAGAAGCAAAACTTAGAAGTTACGAACTCCATAGATGGTTATGTTATATGCTTAACGATTGTATACATTTCATTATTGTGTGGGATTAAGTAAATCCGTATTGTTATTCAACGCAAGGACTAGCTTATTTATTATAATCTATACTCCTTCCTCAATCAAGACTAAAAATGACATTCAGAATAATTATGTTGCTTGAGTATTGAAGGCTGAGTATATGTGTGGTATTTAAATATATGCATATAGGCTAAAATAAATTGCAATAACACAATTACAGTCTCAATGTTAGTTTTTTTTACTAGGGAAACACATCTTACTATGAAAGCTGATTAGCGGCTGAGAAAAGCGAAAATGACGTAGGTACTATGCAGACGATAATATATGCATATAGGCTAAAATAAATTGCAATAACACAATTAGTCTCAATGTTAGTTTTTGTTACTAGGGAAACACATCTTACTATGAAAGCTGATTGGTGGCTGAGAAAGGCGAAACTGACGTAGGTACTATGCAGACGATATACTTGCATAAAAAGACTAAATAAAAAGACATTATTAGATAGTAACATATGCCGTGCTTTGGTTAAAAAGAGAGATAGTTACTAAAATAATTTCACGTGAGTGAAGTCGGGCAACTCACTAGTCGTAAATCATACGAGACCACCCACTGTTGTAGTGTAGGTTATGTATACATATAATAAATGATCATTATCTATATGGAAGATATATGACGAAAACTATTGGGGAACCTTATCAACATTTTTAATCTTAAGAAATTATTGTTGGAAATTTTGTCTAATCTAAGAAACAGCTTAATCAATTCCTGTGCTATTTTCACTAATACATTGTGGTATGATATAATTAAAGTTATGTTTGTATTGTCCCAATAAGTCTACAATCAATATAGTTATATAAAAGGCCCAGCTAGTTAACCAAATAAAATGCTAATTCAGTTACAACTAAGCATTTAGCAGTATAGAATAGAATAGAAAAATCTTTAGTCATATAAAAGAGTAAATTTAAGCACTTTTGGATAGTCATACTTATTTTTTTTTAATCTACCTCTCATTCTGAACTCTGTCTCATTACAAGAAGAATTAATCAGATAATTGTGTGTGTTTTTTTTAATTGATGTAACTTTACATTTTTATGTTGTAATGTATGCAGTGACAGTAGTAGGGCCATATCTGACCTTACAACGATTGAATCTATGACATCATTTAGTAAACACAAGATGACCTTGCTCAGTACTCTATGCACAACCTTGTAACATTTGAACATTTACCAGATTTAGGAAATTTTATCAATGTATTCACATATTTAGATTGCAACATAAAATTGGACCAATTTTGGGATTTCCTTACATGGTATTCAATAACAATTACTATTACACTTACTACTTTACTTTCAATTAAAACTCACTGTCACTAGTGTACAAATCAGCAGAGTAGAAAACCCTTGTAATCAACAAAACAATTTAGAAATTATAAGGCAGTATTTCATAGTGTTACTTTATGCCTTGAATTTATCATCACTAATTAAAAAAAACCATACCACCCAAAATGTTGATAAGACACTTTAGTATTACTACGACTAATGTTTCAGTCCATTGATACACAGTCAACCAGCATCAAAACTTAATCTATATTTGTGGAGATGTAACAAGAAGTTTACTTACTGATAACAATGTAGATAATGTAGTAAAATTTTAATCTTACTATCTACTTAGTAGAAATATAGCAAAGACAATGAGACACCTCTTACAATAAATAACATCCAAAAACATAGTTCTAGAACATACATTTGACCATTTTCCTGATGTATCATGCCAATAAAAATACATGACACTGATGTAATTTTCTTCTCAGAATGTGTACTAAAACATGTACATCTCTTTTACATGTTTATTTTTGTTTTATTTTGTGGTTTGGGCTACTGTTACACACTTAGAACTGTAGTACTGTGGCCTATGGAGATCTGTTATGTCCCCTAAATATATTTGATGATGTGTGATCTAAACTCAATAGCATTTAAGAGAAATAATATACACAGCATTATGAATCTTATTTAAAATGGCCAATTATTGAACATTACTTAGTAGAGATTGCATTAGAAGACAATTGGAAATTGATAACTCAAAATATTTAACCTTAGGTTCCAAATATGAACTTGGATCCATCTGTCTGTTTATTATCTTTTTTGACTAAAGAGCTAAAGGGATCTTAACAAAATTTAGGTGTGAAGATAAAATGTACCATTATAAGATGTCTTTCGTAGATAGCTTTATAAGATGTCTTTCGCTTTTATAATAAAAATGCAGATACAGTCGTAAGCAACAGATACACTACTAATTGCTTTAGAACTAATATTTTGATATAAATATATTTTGTGAATTCAGAATTTTTTTCAGAATCGTGGCATATTAAATTGAAGTCATTATTAAATTTCTTAGTCTAGGTTCTATGATTTATAACATTTAAACTTAAAGGTAAAGTAATATTAGATTATAGAAATATTATTATTACTACTTCCAAAGTCTGCTCTACTCAATCTCAAATATTGTTACTTCTATAAGTATCACCCCAACATTATACTGAAATGCAAACATAATATAGAAGATATTATAATTCTTTTACAATTTCAGTAAAATGTAGTGGTCCAGGTATGAATGTGCATGATGATATAAGTTAGGTTAGGAATTAAAAACTGACCACTTTCTTATCTTATCATTAAAAACAAGCGATATTAAATACTACTAATAAATTTTAGCCACTAACTTAACCGGAGTGTTCCTCTTTACAGGGGTTTTCCTTCCAGATTTATGGTGTGTATGGCCTTCGCCTCCCGTACAGTTCTCCCGATCACAACTAGACCGTAAGAAGGGTGTCTTCGAACGTGACCTTGACCGTAATTCTGGAACCTCAGGATTCTCCATTCCGACTTTATTTTCTTATATACACTAGGTATCACCTCCTCGACATTTTCGCACGAGACACTACCTTAAGGGCCCTGACCCATTTCAAATAACCGGTTCAAATTCAAATGAGTTCACCGAGTTTTTGTACACACAGACTATTGCACAAGGCGATCTATTTCTGTGGCTTGAATTGATGCCGCCAAAAAGATTGTTCGTAACCAATAACTCTAAGAATATTAAAATGTTAATCTAAAGATCCTAAAAATAATTGATTCATTTATTGCCACAAGTTTCAATTGACAATAACTTTACGTTAAGTTTTAAAAAACGAATCCACCAAAACTCAAGGCAGAATTTCGTAACCGAATATTTCTCACAAAACATAAACTGATGACGTCATTAACACAAGAGACGTTAGTGCTAATGTTGCCAATTCTCTTTATTTATTTTGTTTATAGCAATTCCTTTTCTACTTTTTCTATAAAATTGTTCCGATTTTTACAAAACCATTAGAAACGAAATAACTACCGCAAAATAATATAAAATCCTCCAATAATGTAAAAGATTTATACCTATCGAAATTTTAAAAATGGACATGAAAATATACTAATATTTTAAGTGTATTTTTAGAATTACCTGTGTATAAAAAATACCTTTTACAATACTGATAATGTGTTAAATTGTAACAGAAATGAATTGCCCTAATAGTTTCACCCAAGGCCGTAAAAAGTAATTGCTTTTAGGTATGTTATCACGAAACCCTATCTCAGAAAGATTATACTCAGTATGTAAAAACGATTATTAAATTATTCAATATACTATTTATAATCATGATAATAGGAAAAAAGAGATTTCTTTAAAGTTACAAAAGTTTTGAGCCTATGCTAATACTAAAACTACACTTGGTCGTATAAAAAAAAAAGTTTGTAAATAATTATTTAAATGGCCATATTTTAATCGATATTGATTTAATTGATTAATTAAATCGACTTTAATTTGAATAATCATCAAAATTTTCTAATTAATTCTTTCACAATTTTGACATCCCTAGTGGCTTCTGTGAATGTTATTTTGTTTTGATGTGATACCGAGTTATAAATGTAATTATTACATTTTAATTAATTAATCACCATGGATATTGTGTTTACTAAAATTAAAGAACTCGGCCATGTTAATAGTAAACGTGATGAATTGCGAGATTATTGCAAAGTAAAAATTGAACAGGTTAGAACTCTACAAAGTTATATAGTGTATTTGTTATTGTTATTATTTATATGTTTAATTTTAATATAAAATCTATTTTTATGCTTTTTATTGACAGGTATTATCAGTTTTGGATAGACGTATCTTGAGTAGTGATGCTGCAAATTTATTGGATTGTTTATTCAATGGACTGTCAGATAATTGCAGTACTTCATTCAGAAATAAAGTTAAGGTAAACAGAGTGCAATATTATTAAAGTAAACATGTTGTTTGTGGAACTTTTGATGTAAAGGTAGTAAGTATATCTATATAAAACATGATAGTTAATTAGTAAGTACTATTTATTATACTGAATCTTTAATTTATGTGTTTTAATGGGACAAGTGACCCGATTTCAACGTTTCTTGATGCCAGTTAACATATAATTTAATATAGTAATCCAACATTGCATTTGTGAACTTCGTGATGAATTGACTTGTGGTATCTGGAACAACAATAGTTCCTACAAGCTTACTTCCCTTATGTATGATATGAAATGTGTAAATCATTATTTTTAACAAAGAGTTAGCTCTTCATAGTAACCTATATTTTAAACTCTAATAATTATAGTTTGTACAACTGTTTATTTACTATTATCCCTCATTAGTATACAAACTGAAATTGAAAAGTTGGGCCATATTCATAACATATTATTTAACTTGGCTCACAAACACACCACATTTTTCTAGGTAATAGGTATAGTTCTACAAACAATGAGGAAAGAAACTACATCAACAATGCACTGTAGTGATGTGATAAGTAGATTGTGTTTAGAGTTAGGGAGGATGCCAGCTGAGGACTTGGTGAAATGGTGTGACAACAGTGTGCAGTCCATTGTTGAAAATGCTGATGTTAATATGATGTAAGTCACAGTGTGTGTACAAAATAATAATAATTCTGAACAACTAAGACAAACAGTGTAGCCAGCTATAATAACCAGCTAGCTTTGAAGCTGCTTGATACAAACTATCCATCTAAATCTAGATTAAAAAGGGCTCACCTAGTCACCATCTGAAACAAATAAAGGAGTTGGCACCTGACTGGAAGTGTCTTATCTCTTGATGCCCATAACAGCACAGGATCTGGTTATAGCTGGAAGGTCTGATTGGAGATATAAAAGAAATATGATAACAAAAACCTATTATTTATTACTAAAAATAGGCCAAATTTTAAATATATGTATAAAAATTTTGGTAATACTTTAAGTAATAATAGAATAACATATGATTATTTATGAAATCATAAATGTGTTTAATTAGAAATTGTCAATTTTGCAGATGGAGGGATGTACTGCCGGAGTGTCTTAATGTACTGGCTTCGCATATTAATATTAAACACTGTGGCACAGATATGACCATCACAGAGTACAAAGAACAGTGTGTACGCACATTATGCCAGTGTCGTTGGAGGGAGAAACAACTTGTACAACTCACTGCTATGTTTAAGTGAGATATTTCTTTACAATTAGGAATAAGTTTTACCTCTTCCTTAGTACTATAATAGTAAATACCATACTTTTACTATTGCATTGCTCACAATTGACAGGAAATTAATTTTCATGTTGATTTCCAAAAAATATATAAAATAACAAGAAATTATTTTTAAATTTTCACATAACATTATTAATATAGCTAAATAGGTTTTAACACGAAAAATTTTATAATAAATGGTATTTACGCCTCTCGACATTAAAACTAGGCTGCACTATGGTCATGGTCAAAGGTGTAGCCCCTTTAACTAGATTAATAAATAACAAGAATGCTTAAAAACATTGGCATTGTGCACACAATTATTATGATTTCACTTTATTGTAAAGGGAGTTCTGCCTTCAGCTGTGGGTGTATAGGCAGAGGGGAAAAAATATTTATTAATTATATCCATAATTATTTACAGGGATATGCAGTTAAATCGCAATGATCACAAACAAGTTGTTAACAAACTATGTTCCTATATAACAGATGTACCTCCTGAGAGTCTACCACCATTACTTCATCAACTACTAAAGTAAGAATATTTATGTACTACTAACTGCTACCTGCAACTTCATCCATATGGAATTTTACTTTTTTTTATTAATATAAAAGTAGCCTAACTTATTATTACATTAGCTATCAAGCGAAAGTACTGTCAAAATTCATCCAGCCTTTCAAGCAAAAACATACAGAAAATATTCTTTTAAAATATCTTTTTATGTAAGTATCTTATATACATAATTTCATATGCATTTTGTGAAACACTGTTAATTTTAAATTATAGACAGACAATTCCATTTACAATACTGAGGTTTTATTGCAATTGTGGTGTACATCTTATGAAAATGTTATTATAGTTAATAATTGGTTATATTATATATTTTAAAATAATTATTTAACAATTTATTTACAGGTTATGTAAGACATATAATGTGGAAATAGTGTTGGCGCAACTAAGTCACTATTTTAGCGTGAGACTGTACAGTAAGTTAGAGCCACCCCCACAAGATTCTGAATCTACTACGATGGACATAGATGATATTGGTAAGTAATGCATATTATTGTTTTCTCTTATTACTTATGTTTACCAATATAATAATATATATGTCAATGTAAATAACATAAGTAGTAAAGAAGACTTTGTACAAAGTCATTCTCAATATTGAATGTGTGAAATAAAACTAGACAGAACATTATTGTCTATAGTCTCAAAAAACACTAAATTTCCAAAACAAATTATCAACAACGCCTTTCTCCTCACTCAATGGTGGAATCGTTATTACACGCCCACGTCACAGAGGCCAATTGATTAGGGCACTGCTTAATGCTAATCTCGACTTCCTACAAAGCGCCTGCCTGAGCGTCCTCTATCCCTCCTAAATCCCCCAACGGCTTTGCAAGCTGGGTTCGAAGGGTTAGATACTGAATTATAACATTGATGTTTTCGACGCAAATATAAATATATGGTGGATACGTCCTGTATGTGTGTGGGTGTGCTATCGAATTGTTTGTTAATAAGAAATCTATGTTTCATTACTTCTTTTCTTCTCTATAAGCCTAGAATGTCAGTAATATGGGTATAGGAATACCACAATTGCAATGCGTCATTATCTTGTTGCAGTACGATATAACCCATTGGACCTCAGTCGCTGTCTCTCCACCTGTATCTACCACATCACACAGGGTGCTGCAGAATCGGAGACAATACGGAAGCATCTGAAAGCGTGGCCGAAGACCCAACTATTGCGGGCACCATTCTTGATAGATTTAGCACTTGCTATATCTGACAAAGGGCCAGACTTTAAAACTGTTTGTTTAGATGTAAGCAGTCACGATTTTTTATTTTAAACAATATTAGTTGTCTTGTTAACAATATAAGTTTTCTATGTGAATTATGTATTTAATAATATGTGTGTATTTACAAAAAAAAGTATCTATGTATATATATCAGTTGTCTAGTACCCATAACACAAGCTCTGCTTAGCTTGGAACTAGATGGCGCTGTGTGATATGTCAAAGGATATTATTATTATAACTGTCCTCATTGATTTTCACTAGTTTGTCTAATAGTGATGGTTGTGGTTTCTTCATGTTTTAAATTAGAACATCAAAACAAGCTAACGTCCTACCTGATGGTAAGTGTTAACCGTCGCCTACATACATGAATAGCATTAGATATCACGTTATTTAGTGATACTGCTTTTCTGTTGCCATTCCAAAGGAATAAGACGACATGACTCTGAATACTGAATACTGCTTGACGACCTTGGTGAGTGGTTTTATTATTTCTTTTTAAGTCTGACGGTTCTGGTATTTATGATAGTATTAATGGATTGTCTATGATATTCTCCTAAATTAGTAATAACATGTTTTGTTATACAGGTGATAAAATCAGCAATAGAGCATCGTATTATAGATGAATTGCGAAGTAAAGAATCGGCGTGGTCACGCTCAGTACTGCCACCCGATGTTGATGTACCTCACATGCTCAAAGTACTAACCACTGAGAGGTAATAAGCTTTATACTTAACTAGCTGTGCCTGCAGTTTCACTCGCGTAAAATTTATAGCCTATGTGTATTCAGATGTATAAGCCGTATTACTGTAAAGTGTATTAAAATCCGTTCAGTACTTTTAATATCTCAATCTTAGTACTCTTCAAGCAAAATACTTCTTTAAAATCAGTCTAAAGAATCAAATCTATTTTTTTTTATAACACGGGACAAACAAGCATGCGGCTGACCTGATGGTAAGTGATTACTGCCGCCCATGAGCACTCGCAACACCGGGGGAATTACAAGTGCATACCGCTTTACTTCCGATGGTCGCGGGTTAGATTCCTCGCATGGTACAAACATTTAAGGATACAATAATATGGATATAAGTATGATTGTTTATATCGGTCTGGATGGTTTCTATGTATATTATGTATGTATTTACAAAAAACAACAATCTATGTATTTATATCAGTTTTCTAGTACCCATAACTTGGTACTAGATGGCACTGTGTGAATTAAGGCTAGTCTATACCACATTAAATTGAAAATATATTGTAATATGTGTATCGAGTACTGTCCATCGACATCGACATCGACTATTTTGACAGCTTCGGTGGTCTAGTGGTTTAGCACACCGCTTTACTATCCGATGGTCGTGAGTTCGATTCCTCGTACGTTACAAACATTTGTATTCAGGAGTACGATTGTTTGTATCGGTCTGGGCGTTTTCTATGTATAATATGTATTTATTTATAAAAAAAAATGTGTCCATGTATTTATATCAGTTGTCTAGTACCTATAACACAAGCTCGGCTTAGCTTGGGACTAGATGGCGCTTTGTGAATTGTCCTTTGATATTATTATATATATATTATCAATGCCTGACTATCCTATTTGTTAATACAAACAATAATAAGAATAATGAATATAAGTTCTTGTTCTATTTCAGTGTCAACCATTCCCAATTAACGGTGATGGGTCTTATCAACGTAGCGTTCTTACTACTGGCTGTATCCCGTTTGAAGCCAATCGCACAGACTTGCTGGTCGCACGGGAAACTGATACTGGTGCGATTGAGCAAGTCTCAACCTGAAACCGCACCGCATATATTGACGCAGCTAGCTGATAGACTGGCAGGTGATACTAGCCAACGGCAATATGCAGGTACGTGGTCATGAGGTTTTTTTATGTATGTATTTTTTATTGAGGTCAGGTGCTAAGACCTGTAGCACGGCGACCTGTATAGATCTATTGTGCTCGCCCCTTTTTTTTTTTCAAAGTTACAAGAATTGAAGGATATTCTTAAAAATGAATGGTGATCAAATTCTGAATTTTATCACCATTAGAGGAGGTCGTAACGGTAGTCAGGTTTCCGCACTGAGTGTTTGTGGTAAGCAGAATTACACAAAATAATATAATTCCAATAAGTATTGACATGGACTTCCTCAAAATAACACCTAATTCGATAAAATACGATTTTGATGATTTTTTTATGAGATTAATCTGACTGAATTCAATAGAATCTGAAAATAATAAATTAAATAATTAATAAATAGTATCACGGGTATCATGAAGAGTCTTCAACCATATTTAACCGTAACACCTTACAAAGCAGCTTGCCGGCTGAAATAGTTGAGACTGAGGTACCTTGACACCTTGTATAAATTTCCCTTCTGTATGTACGTAATTTCAGATTGCCTACACGTGCTGTGTAAATTAACGCCGGTATCCGTAGAGCGATGTAGTCAGTTATTCACGATCCTGGAGAACTGCCAGCCGGCGGGCGGCGACTACCGCGCGGCAGCTGCTGTCCTCGACGCTGTACATCCACTTCTTAACTTCAGCCTGAGGACCAGAGACACCCTGATTATGGTCTGCAGAAAAGGACTGTACTCTAGGTAACTGTCTATTATTATTAGCCCTAATGTGAACAAATTTGCAGTTGTATTAAACTAGGTTTTGTTTGTGGCTTTGTTCGCGTAACTTTGAATGACAGGAATGCATACTGTATACTGTGTGTGTGTATACTGTAATTTAGAGAATAGACAACAAACTAACTTCAGCAATATTAGAAAGACCAGTTCCGACATGGCCCGTTTCGTATCTCCATACGCTCTTACTATTTAAGAACGTATGGAGAGACGAAACGAACTACATCAATTTAAAATTTTAAAAAAGAACTATACCAATGGCTCGTAAAAAAATACTCTCTAAAAATACTCTTTGCGAGAATTGGCTTAACATTTAATGTTATGTATTTATTATGTAATTTAATTGTAAAGAATCACTCATCACTAAGAATTATAATTTGCATGCCTCCTGAATATGAGGCGAATATTTGTGCCTAACACTGTAAATGTTGAAGCAAATAAATTATCAATTTATCTACACTGTATTTAAGTTGGCATATTTCACCGTTCAAGCCAGGTTTTCTGGTAGTAAGTGGTAACTGAAGCATAAATGAACAGCACAAGAGACGTCATGTTATTATATCACGTCTGTAATACCACTCATGCGTTGGCATTCTGAAGGACTAAGATGTCATGCCTCTTATCATGTAAGTTGATTGCCTCATTCAGGAGAGATTGAGGTACCTACGTAGACGAATTTAAACAAAGTTTAGCTTAGTAGTGCTAAGTGTTAAGTGAATTTAAAGTGTTTAAGGGAATTTAAATATTAATCTGTATTACTGTAAAACAACATTTATTTGAAAAGAATAGGACGTGAGTTTCTTGTCAGTTCTTCTTCGAAATCATTCCGAACTGCCGCTAGATTTGACATGTAATAGACCTACATGAAAAAAGATATTTAGAAAATGAATATATCGTTTTAGGGACTCAGTGCATCGCTGCTTGTCGCTGTCGGGTCTGCTGAGCGTGCTGGAGCACATACGCGTGTCGCGCAGAACATTCTCGAGCAGCCAGAGTGCCTCCAGCGAGCATTACAGCACGCACTCTTACCTCACGCAGCTCACAGTCGACCTACACGCCACGCAACTCGGCGCCGCGTTAGTACCATTTCAACTAAAGCTGATTGTTAACGCATTAGCATGTTATGTGACAATAATTAGCATAAATAATAATATGTATTTTAATTTAACACTTTGTGTATAACTTTATAATAAAATCATGAATCTAGATTGCACCATCAGCTACCAGTTCTTCAACATGTAGGTCTCGCTGACGATGCAATACTTACCTTTTAAGTCTATAATTATAAGAACTGGCCTCCATCGTGGAACTGCCAAAGGTGTAGTTTCATAAATATTATTTTTAAAGTTTTTTAAAACAACAGATAAAATTTTACAATAAAATACCAAAGCAAAGTTATGGATACTATTTTTAGAGTGACATCAAGAGTACGAAATGAAGCAATGTGCATGGAAGTGGTGTCAATACTGCGTCGTTGTCTTGTCCAAGATGTTGCCGTTAAACAGCTTTTGTTCAACAGTAAGTTAAAATAGCAGAATGAATACAACATTTCTCTTTTATGTTTAACTCTATAGATATTCACTATCAGTTTATATTATCATCTGCTTTAATGAAGGTCTTTCAAAAATGACTTCAAAATATCAGAAATGAAAGATTTCTCATTTATGTTTAGCTCAATAATAATGAGCTAAACATAAATGAGAAATCTATTAATATACAGCAAACTGAGCTGAGCTCGTATTATGGTTACTAAACAACTGATAGAAACTTTTTTGTATGATAATATACATAGAAATCACCCAGGCGCTTGCATACAATCATACTCATAAATAAAAATGTTACATAGTGAAAGAATCGAACCCGGAACCATTGGAAGTCAAGCTGTTTGCTTAATGCCTAGACTATTTAGTTATTACATATTATCATAATAAATTGCAATACCAGTGCAACGTAGATCCCGTTTTTTCAACATTTTTCATTATGTTACGCTTCTATTAGTTGTAGAATGACGTTAAATGGATTATCCAATTTTCAGCGTTATATTATGAGTTATATCATAGATAACATAATATTAATTATCGCTTTTAATAAATAAGATCTCAATTTTGATCACTTCAGAATTGTATGTATGTGCGAAAGAGAAGACTGCACTTCACGAGACAATCCTGGAAACATTATATGAACATATTAGCAAGTATTTACCAGAGAGTAATGATGAAGGGTCGCCTTTATTGCTATACAAATGTGTGCAAGTCACAGACACCGGTGCTAATTTAGTGGTAAGTTTATTACCCTTACGTTTATTATGGATGTTTCGGATTTAAACTTTTTACTATCTCATTTTTTTATATCACTTTTTAGTATTTAATCCATAACTACAGTCACATTTTTGTATAAATAAATTTAATTTCAAAATAAGAACCTATTTTCTTAAATAAGTTATTAAGCTAGGCTATGTTAGATTAAACTTAACATATTCTAAATTTTTTTTTGTCATTGGAATTGCATGAAACAACCGCCACCTTACTACTTATCGTCAAGTAGTAACTGACGCTAAAATACATGAAGAGCACTGTGGACATCATGTTATCACGTAATACTACTCATAAGTTGCCATTGCGAAAAACTAATACGTCATGTCTTTTGTCGTTTATATATAAAAATAGATTATTAAATCAACTAGTAGTTTTGGTACCTTTCCATAGAAAACAAGATCAATGTAGAAATTAATAACTTGTTATATTTAAACTTTCGTATGTATACATTATGTATATTCATAACAGAGTAGAAGGAAATACCTTTATTTACCATAAATTTATTCTTGATGAGACCCGGCTAACTATATAAATAATAGACAACTTAGTTACCAACTAACAGCCTATGCTGTGATAGTTGATGACACTCATTAGCTTTCAAGCGAAGTCAGCACACATTAATAAATTCACCACTTACTATCCATTGTAGTTTCCCAAGTGCTTGGTAGTCATTCCTTAAAAAAAGGCACTTTTTTTATACTACTACGGTGGCAAACAAGAATACGGCCCATCTGATGTTAAATGGTTACCGTAGCCTCTGAACACGCCTTAAACAACGGTTGAATACTTTTATTGAGATAATCCTCAAGTTTTTGAGAAGAGAGGGCGACTAAACCTCTTTATATTTTTATAATAATACATAACGATTTTGAACTTACATATATATCAGCACCTTCAATTAAATATTATATTTTCAGGAACCAATATCACACCTGTTATACGTAATAGCTGAATTTGTTCAGCCCGTAGAAGATGAAGAATTAGAGGATATCCTCGGAAGCCAGAACGCGGAGACTGGCAGTGCTCACTTAAAAAACAAACTAATCCATATCATGGATAAATTGTGTAGAAGCGAAACTTTGGGAGCCATTGACTTGGTAACTATAATATTTTATTGTATATTTTGCTGATGTTGACAAAAGTTGTGAAGGTGTAACAATTATTTGTTGCTCTACATACATCCAAATTCACAAACTTCCCCGTTACTATCGCATCCATACTAATATTATATATTAGTAATTAATTAATAATTAGTTAATATTGTATTTTATATGAATATATTCCTATTTATATTATTCTATACTAAAGTTTAACATCGTGGCTCAGCGGTTATGATCTTATATCATAGCATATCTTTAAATAGGGCATATCTTAATTATTAATTTTATAAAGGTCGTGGCCACGCCTTAAACGTTGGATTCAAATATACTCAGCGAAATGTGGGTATATCAAATGTCGCAATCACAACAACATCGACAGTTGACAATGCCTCTGTCTACCAGGATAACTAAAGAGTTTAAAAAATTCAGAATAATTTAATATTTTCTGACAAACTTTAAATCATTTGAATATGAATAATTTATTATATTACAGCAAGATCCCGGCCTCTCAGACTTAACTCCGGAGTCCAAGGCGAAGAGTCTTAAAGTGCAGCAAATATTGCAATGCTATGAAACGTTGATTGCATATAAGATATTGCAGTGGGTGCCCACTAGTACGGACGCGGCCAAGTCTGTATATTCCTTATACAAATCGTGTAATCAACTTCTGGAACAATTAAAGGTATTTTATATACACCGTTTCGTTGTGTTTCGGACTGCTCTATTGCTGTTAGCAATAGAGCAGTTAGCCGCAGGTGACCTTTACAGCTTCACCGAACGGTAGGGGGTGAGTGCAGATAGCACACCAAACCCGCGGAAGAACTTATGGAGCGGCTGAAGGTCAACTCCCGCTTAACAGATACGACTTTAGTTTGAGGTTCGAACCCCCTAAGGGTTCGAACCTCGGCTCAGGACGTCGTACTTTCCATCCCCGTTTGAATTGGACGGGAGATCGATCGGAGGGCGTTGTACCATATAATCATTTACAGAGCCCAATTTCAGATTTTTTATCAACTTCCCCGTGTCATATTTTAGTAGGTAAAATTTACTACTAGTGTTAATTTAATGAAATTTTTTAATACTAAAACATGAGGTCTCTAAAATTTAAGATTCCCAGTAGTAACGTGCTTTTTCACCCTTGCTAGATTTCACGATTTTACGACGAGTTACACGAAGTTTGCAACTATTTACGCTTCAACCCTTTGTTATTTCTTAAAATATCAATATCAGATCTATAACCTCACAATGTTATGAAATGGAGTTGTAAACTTAATTCAAGAACACACATTAAATTACTAAGCGAACTTTATTCTTAATGCATCCTAATCAAAATGAAATGTAATTTCACATTGTAACAACTTGATCAACCACATCGACATTTGACTTTATATTGATTTGATTCTGACTCTATATTGTCAATAGTAATTAATTAGTTAAGTAATTTCTGCTCAATTTTATTTAGGCACCACCAAAGACAGGGAAAAAAGGCAATAAATCACTAAATGAGACGAGGGAGACGGTGAAATCTCAAAAGAGTCAGAAGTCACAGAAGAAGGGCAAGGCACCTGTAAAACTCTCAAACCTGACAAAAGATAAGGCTGGTCCATTCAAACCTTTACCTTGTCTATGGCATCCTGGTCTCTGTCAAAGAATTATTGAATTATTATACAAGTACGTTAATTTTTTTATACTATAGTTTTATTAATAATGGGGACATTATTATTATTATTAACTTCATATCAATTGTTTAAGTGTGATTGAGTAATTAACATTTTTACAAACTTTTGGTTAGTAATATTAGTAGAATAACTATGCTATTGTATACATGTGTAATATATATTGTATTAAAAGCTATCACTACATTTATCTGTATGTATAATATAAAGCAGTGAAAGAATAAAAAAAAATCTATAATGTATTGTAGAATACAAATAAAAATAGACTGAACTAGTCCTATATGATATTTTATCAATAGTACTATTCATATATGGTCATTTTATCACACTATTCTGATTGCATAATATTAATATTATCCAGGTTATATGTCATAACTGATAACACAATGATAAGACTGAATTATCGTCTTTCTCAACCCAGTATATTCTTAATGGCAACTAAGGAATAAAAGCCAATGTAAGAGAATAGAATGATGTCCTATGGTAGCTCACATACCTAGTAGAAGGCTAATATTCTCCCTCCTCTTGTAGAGTTACAGACAGAGAGAAAGAGAGAGATGCGTGTGGCAGTGAGGCATTTGTGATCATAATAATAATTATTGAAATAATAATATGAAACAGTGAATCGGTGCCGTGGTCTTCGTTAGAGCAGAGTAATTACATCCGCGGTCGTCGTGATTTCCATCGCTGGGCGCTCCGCTGCATATTGTCTGTGCTCACATGTGATCACATGGAGAAGCGATATGTCACATGCAACGTCACCAAAATCGCGGCTGTCATCTACAGAAGGTGTATTTCTCGGTACGTATGCACTTGGTCCTTCGAACCGGATAGTGTAGTTTTAGAAGTTTTTGATCTTTCATCATATAAGGCGTACTAGACACAATACATTTTTATTTTGGATATCAATAGAAATCTGAATGGAATGAACATATGTTTTTTTTAATGGATGATTATGGAATGGTCCACCTCCTGCGCTAACGGTATACGTTACCGGGGCACCAGTAGAGAATGAGTTCAGGTCCGTTAACCCATCGTGACAAATTTACTAACAATTTATCATGATAGTTATCAGGAGGAACTACGTGAGATCAACCTGGTTTTCATTGTCCATTCTATAGAAACAAATTTTAACAGCTTATAGCAATTCAGTGATCTAATGTGATTATTTTCTGTACTATTACTACTATCACTAATACGATTATGATTTATCTAGAAATTGACAATTCAATTATGTATAATATATATATTTGAAATATGCAAATTTTGAACGTACATTTAGTATTAATTCTTTATATATATAACATGTTTCATAAGCACTATACAGTATATATGTTTTTTACACCCAAGTCAGCATATAGCTAAAATTGGTAGAATATTTATTAGTAACTTGTTATTCGTTAAGTCCCTTCAATGAGATAAAAAATATTGTTAATTAATTAATGAAAAATATAGTAAAATTACTTTGTTATAGATTTCAGGACATGTGCGATTTTGATGATCAGACTACTTTGAGCTGTCTAGAAGTATTCAAGGCTTGCTTAACTTTACTCTTCTCGTCGAATTATTCATTGCAAATGGACGGCTTTTTGTCAAAAATAAGTAAGTGTGTCTCTAATATTATTTATAGCATTTTTTTGCCTAAGTACCAATGAGCTGTTGTTAGAGTTGTCATTCCTCAGGACTATGTTGTATTTATCCTATAACTCACTGCTATATATTACTCTTCAACAGAAAAACATATTACAAAGCAAGCAGTTTATATAACGGTATTATTTCCGATGGTCGCAGTTTCGATTACTCGCAGTGTATACTTTTGTACTCATGAATATAATTGTGTGATTTGATGAGTATATTATGTATGTATTTAAATATGTTTATCCGTTGGCTAGTACCTAGAAACTTCAAATTGCTTTGTGAATTGTCCAAGAGTATGATTGTTTGTATCGGGCTGGGTGTGACAAACAAAAAGTATCTATGTATATATTATCTATCTTTAATTATTTACTTTAAAACCTACAAATATTATAAAGTTGATTATACATTGGATCCCGCACTAGGCGAACCTGTATGGCGGGAGTCCACAAAAGAATTGCCAGACGATTAATAACTATTACAGATCAGCGAGTAGAGAAGATTTGACATTATTATAAGAGATATTTTAGTTTGATTTCATAAAAACATTCCATAAAGTTGACTAGTACCCGTAACACAAGCTCTGCATATCTTGGGACTAGATGGCGCTGGGTGGATTGTTCAGGGTTATTATTTTTATTACTTACGTAACTTCAATTTTTCCCTGCGTATACATCCTTAACCTGTGCCTACCTTCCCTTTGACAGCCGGTATACCAGATGTAACAGCGTCAACGCACATAGCAGTAATCCTGGAGAACCTCTTATTGGCGCTGCAGCAGGCGGAGGCTGAGAGTGAACAAGAAGAATCCGACGCGGTCGCCAAGAAGATTGTAGCAATGCTGGTGCAAACGGCTGGCCTGCTGCTTGATGTACCCGTGCCACACTTAGCTGAGATGACCAATGTAAGAGTTGTTATGTACTTAATGGATATATATTCTTTCGTTTCATTCCGCTATAATTAGCATGTGTGAGACTACAAAATTTGAGTTCACACCCACTGCAGTGTGGACTCAAATGTGTATGGTCTGTATCCACTCAGCCGTGGGTACACAGACTCATCACAAGAAGAATGAGCTATAAACTTGCGTGTTGCTCTTTTAAATAAATGTTGTTCTAAGCAAATACATATTAACAAGGATTAGGTATGCGATAATCGACATAGAAAATGTGAGTTTAGTATTTAATTAATTAAACACCATGTTTAACCTGATGATCAGATGTTAATCAAACTGGAGGAGTACATCCGAACAAGTAAGCAGGATTGGTTGCCGATGCTGCCGGCGCTGTTAGCTGCCGGCTATAGGGACCAGCAAGAAGCACAGATTCTTGACGAGCTGTTGTTGAAAGTTGCAGAGGTGCTGGGCAGGATCGATGTGAGTATCCTTTTTATTTGAGTATGGATGTTTGTTAGTCTTACTTAGCAAAAACAACTGATAGGATTTCAATAAAAATTTACAATAATATAACTTATATTATTATATTCAGATAGAATAACGCATGGGCTATAAAATTCAGACGGCTGAAATCGCGGGCACAGCTTGTTATAAATATATTAAATTAAACTCTAAAAACCTATTTCAGTCACAAGCTTCTCACAGCGATTGACTTTAATAGTTAAATTATACATTGTATTATCAAAAATTCTACTTGTATGTGTTTGTGGCCATTCGTGTTTATGAGGAGAAATATATAAATTATATTAATTAAAAGTAAAATGTTAGGAGGAGGACACATCAGCGGGTGAGGAGTCCACAAACTTTCCACTAGTGGACAGTAAGTCGGGACATACGGTTTTAGCACACGTGTGCTCCCACCTCGGGCTGCGGTTCCGCTGCGTTGACCACCTACTCCAACGCACCCGAGACCTCACCACCGCCGTCACACTCGCCACAGAATCCCACCAGCAGAGGATCGAGAGAGGTTTGTTCCACAAGTATATAACTCCTGTAAAGCTCAATGTGGATCTTCACCCTCGCACGTGATAGTATTTTGATAGGTCAGAATTTCGCATAAACTTGAATGACGAAAAAGATTTATCCCCGTAGGTGACAAACAAGCATATGCGCCATCTCATGGTAAACGATTACCGTAGCTTATGGACGCTTGAAACAGCAGGGGTGTCACATGCGCGTTTTCGACCCTAAAATCTACATATAAATAATAATAATAAAAAATATCCACGTAGTAAGGAATTAACCTGCTATTTATTTGAGCATCCTCTTAGTTATACGATATTATTATGTCTATATGAGGACAGTATTTATACGAGAAGACGTTTTTATTACAATTTTTGCCATATATAATCCATACAATTTGCCCAGATTAATTCGGATACTTCCAACGTTATTGCTGTTCCACAGAGCTGAATGAGCTGTACAAGTGCATAATACTGCAGCTGTGTTCGCTAACGACGTGGGTGTCTCGGTGTTGCAAGCTCCGCTGCAGTCCTGGTGCCGGTAGCGACCGCGTGCTGGCGGTCGCAGTGCGACTGTTTTCGCTGTTGGCAACCCTCGCCCGCCATCTACCACCAACTGTGGCACAACATCTGCGGTCAGAACGACATTATTTTTTATATACACCAATAATAATAATGAATCTATACTCATTTTTTAGGGTCGGCAACGCGCACGTGACACCCTTTGTGTCTCGGGCGTTCATAACTTACGGTAACCATTTACCGTAGGCCGTACGATACGATACGATACGAATAATAGATTTCGGTGCCAAATTTAACTAAAAGAGTAAATTTTTAAATGTTTGATTTATCACTAAATTAATATAGAAAAATCGTTATTAAAATTATTTGGAATATGAATATTAGTTTCTCATTATATGTTTTGAAAATCAGTTGCTTAATGCTCATGGTACACCCTCTGCCCAGAATTATACTGATTTTTATTATTATTTAATCACTTGTTTTGTTGTAATTACATCGAACAATTTCGAAAATTTAGCAATATAATATATTACTGCTAAAATTGTGAAAGATACTTATATTTTTATGACCATCCTCTTCCCGGTCCTCAACACTCCTTGGAAAGAAGTACAGCTCTCTTTTATTAAATTACAATATATGGTTAATTTCAATCTCTTGACAGAAAATAAAAAACACAGCACCTACTCGCCGCATGGTGCTGTAGAAGTAGTATATGTATGCTTCTCCTGTGGAATAAATATGGATGAGAAATTAAAGGGTACAAATGCATGATACTTAGTGTACATAAACCTTAAGGCAAGACTACATATGTCTGATAAAATACGAGGATCACATGACCATATGATATGTCTGTGGTGCTCATCATCTGTCTGTCCGTCCCTATGTATGCTTTAAAACTACGCGACGGATTTTGAAGCGTTTTTTTAATAGATAGAGAAGATATGAAGGTTTATATGTATATTTGATTAAATAATGAATTATATGTATAATACATGTACAGCCGGGGTGGGTAGCTAGTATAATTATAAAATAAAAAATCTAAGATACTATACACAGCCTTACACACGAACGATACCAATTTTCTATTATTTTATTAAATATATAATTAATATATATTTCTTAAAACAGTTTTGAACGTCTACTGAAACTGTGCGGAAAGAAATTTTCAACGGTCACAGACAACTTGATTACGTACCTAGAGGGTTCGCAGCAGCAACAGAACGCCAGCAAGGTGCTCCGTGACACTAAACTCATACCGCGGCTCGTGCTCGAAGCAGAACAGTTCAGTAAACATGTGATACTGCTCGCCAATAAAGGAAATGTAAGTGCAGCTAACTGGTCCAAATTCGACTATAATTAATTTAACATTCAGTAAGACTATAGGCAAATAGTTTTAAAGAAAAACATTATTATTCTATTCACAATTTGGCTACAGACTTTAATTATAAAGAAAAGAGTATACATGCGTGTATGTGTCATATAAACTTTTTGGTAGTGTGTGTAATATTTTTTATCGTTTTAATGTACTTTTTGTGCGTAATATAAAAAAAAATATTAGCATTCTGTTCTGTGCGTAATTTCATACTCTTCTGTGCGCGCAATTTACGTAAAACCAATATTTTTATAACGTCTAATACCATAAATATTAATTTATTATTAATTTATTTAATAATATATTATTAATACATTTTTAGCATTTATCATAAATATCCGGTTCGAAAGACTAGACAGAACTTAATCGAATTTAATCTGTTTCATGCAAACCTAGGTACCAGATTTTTTCATTTGCGGTACAGATAGAGAGAAACTATAACCAACGTCTGGTGTATTTTTAAATATATAACAATTTTCCTTTTGATTTCAGTTAAATTATCAACAGTACCTATCTTTGGGTACGGCCCGTGACTTCAGAATAAAAGCGCCAGTGTTACAAGAGGCGCTCAATGCCAGGGAGGAGCCAGAAGTGGACGACAATAGTGATAATGGTATTTCAAATTTCAAATCAAATCAAATAATTTATTTCCAGAGTACAATGCTTATAGGTTTTATAATATTGAATGTTATGTCCAGTATGTTCAGCCTGCATACAGGAGTGCGTTTTTTTACATTATTAAATTTATGTCGTTATAACTTTGTAATTAAATTAAAATTAATAATTAAAACAATTAATCATTCATCAGGATTACGGGATTATTTAAAACTTACCGTATTTACATTACTCTACTATATAAAAATGGGGGAAGGGGATAGTTATTAATGTGCACTGATGACCCCATAGCTAGCAATGTAGGTTAGGTTGATCTCCGCGCGATTCCGTCTGGAAACCACCATGATAAATTTCTGGCCAGTTTCTCACAATGGGCTAACTGACCTGATCTTAAATTAAAACTATATAAAAATCAGCAAGTAGAGTAAGAGTGTTTGTTGTTGAACTAATTCAAAACAGCTTGACCGATTTTTATAAAATGTTTAGTCTACAATTGTTAGGTCCAAGAATAGGTCGGAGGTTATACCCCTGGGTGATGCCACAATTCAAACATATATTAATAATAGAACCTATCAAGAATATTCTACACTTGGAGAACACCTCTCTTTCAACCTCTAGGACGTAATGAATAATGATAATAATAAATCTATTTCTTGCGAACAACAATACAGTAACACAGTTCCACAATTTCATAACAGTTTAGGAGGGCAACGAATTTACTTAAAGATTATACACAAATCCATTTTGTAGTAATAAAAATCATTAGGGCACAACACTCTGTTACATAATGTATATTTACTAAATTAATTTCAGATGAACAAATAGATATAAACGACGCAGCGACGGAGATACTCGGCAGCGGCAGTGACCACGATGGTAACGTTGATGATAATTCACGAAGAAAGAAAAAAAGGGTCTCCAAAGTTTTGAAGGGTAAACGAATTTACTTAAATGGTACACAGAACATATATATACAAACCAAAATTATATCTATAAAAACCATTAGGGCAGAATTATCTAGAAATTATCGAGAATTTTATATATGTATTATCTAATATATAAAAATCTCGTGTCACAGGTTTCGTGTTTATACTCCTCCGAAACGTATTCAATAGGTCTGAGAATAGGTTTATAACTAATTTCCATAGATATGTGTTATGAGTGGCTCACCTCATATTTTTTTTTCTTATTTTATTATATTTATTATTTAATATATGGCTTTAAAAATAAATACAACATACATAAATTTTCAGCTTTCTAGCATCAATCCCTATCTTTTAATAGCGATTTTAATTTATATGGCAAATCAACGTTTGTCGGGACAGCTAGTAGGTATATGTAAATTTATTAAATTTGTTTCAGATGAACAAATTGATATAAGCGACGCAGCAACAGATATACTGGGGAGCGACCACGACGGAAGTGATGAAGATAATTCACGAAAAAAGAAAAAAAGGCTGTCATAAGAAAAGAAAATATACATTATTATATTTTTATACTTACTATGTTCTGTTAAATATATCAATGTTTTAAAATGATACCATCAGTTGTTTTTAATTACATAACCCGCTGTAGAATCAACAATACGAAATCAATACAGAGTATTTTTGTCGTAGATGTATTGTGCTCGCCCATAATAGAAACATAGGCCAGTCAGGGACAAGAGGGATATTGTTAGGAGCCATAGTTATTATCTCCTCAGGGTATCCTTTCCAAAGGAGATATTTCGCTTATACATGACTGAAAACGGAGGAACACAGAGAAACGAATCTCATAAAAAGTATCAAATATAGCTAGTTTCATTTTTGGTATTTCAGGTAAAATATAGAGGTTTCAATTATATTTGTAGGTAAAGTTTTTTGAGTTTTAGTGAGACTAACGAATTGATTTTTCTACAGATAACGATATAATCTGGCTGGCACTAGTGGAAGATGATAAACATGAAGTCAGGTCAGGTAGCTCGTGGCGAAATCACCAGTAATTAACCTGACGGTTTCTAGGAGGACTACGTGGACGTCGACCTGACAGGATGTATGGATTGCTAGCAAGGGCCTTATGTAGCCGATAAAGAAGTCTGGTAACTGTTGAACAACTCACGTTGGGCTAACTGGCCTGACTTCATGCTCATCTTGTCATGCTTCATTGCCAGCCCTTCATCCAATCCTTCCCCAACTTTATTGTCCACTCTTTCCTTACCTATAGATTATTGTATGCAAATTTTATATAGTTAGAGAAATATCATAATACTGGGACGAATAAAGAGGATTGTTAGTAATGTGGACTAACGACTCCTTTTCTAGCGATGCCCTATATCTGGTTGACCCTCACGCGATTCCTCCTGAAAATCATCATGATATGTGTCTGATAATCGATGCTCCAACTGAGCTGACCTCATGTTCATCTTATTATCCTCCTCTGTTACCCCGCCAGCGTTAACTGTCAGGGTTCGCGGGTGCACTATTCCCTTATTCAGAAAAAGAATCATAATACTAGCTAGCTATATTTTATAACTAACTAAGTCTAAATTTCGTACACGTATAACAGTTTTGTTCGTAAATTTATAGGTATAAAACAAACATTAAGTTCTAAGTGAGGCTTGCCACAATAAATTAGTGAATAACGCATCAAAATCGGTTAAGCAAATTTCTGAAATTACGCACACAATCGCAGACTAGAGAATTCTAACAATAATTGTTTTGGTCCTATTACATTAATATAGTCCCCCATAATAGTTATTCTCATATATATCTTTCATTTAGTATCAGTTGCATTTTTATTATATTTGCAACCATAGAGCAACTTAATATAGGTACTTTTTCTATGTACTTATTACACTTGGTTCTATCCAATGGGAATACACATTTTTTATATTCCAAGAACAGCGTTCAGTGTTGCGCGACGTTTCGCAGTATCATGTAACAAATATGTAATTATATTTCCAGGAAAGTATTATTTCAGTCGCTAATAGCAGATAAAAACCGCATGACACTTGACGGGGAAATCTTGTAGTTGGATATTAGTAATCATTTTTCCAAGTGATAGCCACTTACCTAGACAGTTCAGGAGAAAATTAATTTAGTTGTTGTAAATACGAGTACTAGAGTTTAGATACGACGTGCTTCTAGGAATATCAATCATAATACCTTTATCATCCAACATTTCAATGTCATGCTTGTAGGTATTCATTCCACATAATACAAATTTCGTGCCTACATTTTCTTTATGTTGTTTTCTCTTTATGATTATAAGAGTAATTAAAAGTAAGGGTTCAAACGGAAAACATATAAATAAACATTTATTTACTTTAATAGAATATTGTTTAATACAAATTTTTAGTTCACAATATCTGAATATTGTTTTCATAAATTACGTAGGTATTAGATAGAAGAACATTACTTAAATAACATGAAATATCAACACAGAGTATGCTAACCAAAACAAGCATTGTTTTTGTTAGGTATCTAATAAACTAGCGGGTTTTGCCAATGTTATTGTATATTTTACCTCGACAGCCATAAGGGGATCAAGTGTCCCCGTAATGATTTTACGAGGTATGTTTTCTTCAGTATTCTTTCAATCTCTATTCAGAGACCATGCGTCTCCCCTCACCTATCCAGCCAGCTCATTCATCACCCAAGATCAATCGAAATTTTGTCCTAAATATGCATTTACGTTCTGCTCAACTCGCTTACTCTATGATTATAGTAATAATAAAAGTATTTCTTTCGTTAGTCTGAAAATTCATTATAACTTCAATATCTTGCTCATTTTTTTTAATTTTTATTCTGTCCTGGATTGTTTATACATATGAATTGTAAATCTACTTTTATTGGTAATAATCCATTTTGAACAAAAAAAAATTGTATGTATCTCTCCATACAATTTTTTTTTGTTTCTGAGGTGGGGGACATTTTTCATTTATACAAAAAGTCTGAGTAAAAAACTCACCTTTATATGAACCAAAATAGGATTTAATGTATAAAACCATCAAAAACAGTAGTAAACAATATTATCTTTAAATGGTAGTATTTTTTCACCGTGAGAAATCTAGAAACTACCAGTTACGAATCAAAATCTATTATGTTTCGTGCAAAGCAACATGTTTTGAGCTTTAACTAAAATTCTCGTAATATTTTATAAGCCAAATAGAATGATTTATATACAAATGTACCTAAAATATAATGTAGGTGCAGCGGCACATAAATTGTAGGCATAAGTTTAGTTCCCCGAATGTAATCAACACGAGTGTTTCGGAGAACCACTGACACGTGCTGGTCCAAATGGGGCCTTATAGCACATTCTATGGAAAGCGATGAATTTTGCCCTGTGCTTAATATTTATTATCATAAATTATCAGATACTGAAATAAAATGAACTGTGAGCGTTATAAATGTTTACAATAGCAAATAAGTGCCTATCTATGAAAAAAAAAAGTTCAAAGAATCATAATCAAACCACAGATAAGAGAATGTTAAGTAGATACTACATAGTAAAACTACATAAGTAGGTATATTTATTTAAAAATGGTTTCTATAAATAAGGTCTATGTACCTTAATTCCTTATACCTGCTCCATCTTTTAAATAAATGGATGGGACGAAGTATTTTTAAATTTTATATAAAATAATTGTAAGAAATATCCTATAGTTTTATAAGCTTACCTTAAAATTTTATGCGTGGGTAACCATAATCTAGACTGCATATGCATAGTTGTATATCTTATCTGTAGTTGTACGGTAATACGTCTTGTTTCGGTAATTGCCCAAATTGCCCAATTGCTTAACGCGTTCTTCTCCTATTGCTTGGTTGTTAGCTCAAATAAGGCTTGAGTCAGTGGGAACAAAATATTTTTGGCATGAATCTGTGTAAGGTTTTTTTGAGCACGGAATACCTATTTGCAAGCAATTGTTTACTTAGAATTTGATTTTGAAGACTTTTCCGAATATTCTAATCTTGAATAAATAAAACAAACTAATTATTATGTGAAACCATATTTTTTTAATTATACAAGTACAATATTTAGTATATTTAATAGTTTTCGGAATTGATCATAGACCTTTTTGGGTTCTACAAAAATTAACATTTTTGTAACGATGAAGTGACTAATATATTCTTTCGCCTTGTCTGCTCTAATACCAACTTTCTACAAAGTAGTTTTTCATGGATTTCTATCTCACCTATTTCTTGTTCTAGCATTCCTATTTGAAGAGTAAATAGTGCAAGTGAATTTACAGCATACTAAGGCATAACAGTTTAGTACTTAGGAATGGCAAGGTAAGAGACAAGACTTCCGTGAAGATTTCATGGAAGAATAAGCGACAGTTAGGTACTACTTTCCATCTGGTGGGCCGTAATAGATTTACGGTCCAATTAGGTAGGTACATAAAATCCTCCTAATACATGATATCTAATCTATGACAGAAGTTCTTACCATTTTAATTATTATTTTTAAATTGTAGCTTCTGTATTCGTATACATACTGAAATTTAAACAACACAATTTATGGTAAACATGAAACACATTGTCTAATAATATGAAACGTGTTAAATAAATGTGCGTTTCTCGGTAGTTGGGTGTTGTAGGTATCCTACATATTGGTACTACCTAGAATCCCTGCTGGCATACCAATAACAAGCGGGTTCATCGAAATTGCAGTTCCTAGAAATGTATACGAATTGGAGTATCTGAAAAAACTGGGAATAGCATAAACCATTGGCAGTCTGTTAAGATTTTTAGATGTCGGTAAAGAATTTTCAATCTGCAATGCTCGCTGGTGCGTTCACTGAACTGTTTGCTAGAATAAATCTAATTAGCAGCTTACTCGGAAGCATGAAGTACCTATCCAGCACTCACTATAGACCCGCTACGGCTTCGCAGGGGTGTAATATACTGTAAGTAGCTTTCAAATTTTATCGAAAATAAAATACGGTCCATGTTGCTCACTGATAACATGAAATATTTAAAACTAGCTGTGCCCGCAGTTTCACCTGTGTGAAATCTATAGCCTGTATGTTATTCTGATGTAGATTATTGTAAAGTTTCATCAAAATCCGTCCATCCAATCCAATCCATTCTCATTATTTTATAAACGCGAAAGTTTGTGTATTCACAAACTAAGTTTTATATTTAAAATCAATATGTTTAAAATCATTTTATATACATGCTCAATATTTTATAGGTATAATAAATAATTAGGAAATATTAATTTTCCATAATTTTTGGGAAACTATAAATCATTTAGGTCCAAGAAAATATCCTGAAAAATAGTAAAATTTTGGGATTCCAGAATCTAACACTCCACTGCGAACGTACTCTACTGTACATATATAGCTTGGTATTTAGATAGACAGGGTAATTCAGAATATTGTACCCAACTTATACTTATTATTTTATTTCGTTTCTTAAGTTTTCCGACTTTTAACAAAATTTTAGAATAGTAAATTAATCATACTTTTAGAAAATTTACATTATT